TATCTGTGACAGCTGTGTCCAGACTGTAAGCTGTGTGTTAGACTATATATATCTGTGACAGTTGTGTCCAGACTGTAAGCTGTGTGTTAGACTATATATATATATCTGTGACAGCTGTGTCCAGACTGTAGGCTGTGTGTTAGACTATCTATATCTGTGACAGCTGTGTCCAGACTGTAAGCTGTGTGTTAGACTATATATATCTGTGACAGCTGTGTCCAGACTGTAAGCTGTGTGTTAGACTATATATATATATATCTGTGACAGCTGTGTCCAGACTGTAAGCTGTGTGTTAGACTATCTATATCTGTGACAGCTGTGTCCAGACTGTAAGCTGTGTGTTAGACTATATATATCTGTGACAGCTGTGTCCAGACTGTAAGCTGTGTGTTAGACTATATATATCTGTGACAGCTGTGTCCAGACTGTAAGCTGTGTGTTAGACTATATATATATATGTGACAGCTGTGTCCAGACTGTAAGCTGTGTGTTAGACTATCTATATCTGTGACAGCTGTGTCCAGACTGTAAGCTGTGTGTTAGACTATATATATCTGTGACAGCTGTGTCCAGACTGTAAGCTGTGTGTTAGACTATATATATATATCTGTGACAGCTGTGTCCAGACTGTAAGCTGTGTGTTAGACTATCTATATCTGTGACAGCTGTGTCTAGACTGTAAGCTGTGTGTTAGACTATATATATCTGTGACAGCTGTGTCCAGACTGTAAGCTGTGTGTTAGACTATCTATATCTGTGACAGCTGTGTCCAGACTGTAAGCTGTGTGTTAGACTATATATATCTGTGACAGTTGTGTCCAGACTGTAAGCTGTGTGTTAGACTATATATATATATATCTGTGACAGCTGTGTCCAGACTGTAGGCTGTGTGTTAGACTATCTATATCTGTGACAGCTGTGTCCAGACTGTAAGCTGTGTGTTAGACTATATATATCTGTGACAGCTGTGTCCAGACTGTAAGCTGTGTGTTAGACTATCTATATCTGTGACAGCTGTGTCCAGACTGTAAGCTGTGTGTTAGACTATATATATCTGTGACAGCTGTGTCCAGACTGTAAGCTGTGTGTTAGACTATCTATATCTGTGACAGCTGTGTCCAGACTGTAAGCTGTGTGTTAGACTATCTATATCTGTGACAGCTGTGTCCAGACTGTAAGCTGTGTGTTAGACTATATATATCTGTGACAGCTGTGTCCAGACTGTAAGCTGTGTGTTAGACTATCTATATCTGTGACAGCTGTGTCCAGACTGTAAGCTGTGTGTTAGACTATCTATATCTGTGACAGCTGTGTCCAGACTGTAAGCTGTGTGTTAGACTATATATATCTGTGACAGCTGTGTCCAGACTGTAAGCTGTGTGTTAGACTATATATATCTGTGACAGCTGTGTCCAGACTGTAAGCTGTGTGTTAGACTATATATATCTGTGACAGCTGTGTCCAGACTGTAAGCTGTGTGTTAGACTATCTATATCTGTGACAGCTGTGTCCAGACTGTAAGCTGTGTGTTAGACTATATATATCTGTGACAGCTGTGTCCAGACTGTAAGCTGTGTGTTAGACTATCTATATCTGTGACAGCTGTGTCCAGACTGTAAGCTGTGTGTTAGACTATATATATCTGTGACAGCTGTGTCCAGACTGTAAGCTGTGTGTTAGACTATATATATCTGTGACAGCTGTGTCCAGACTGTAAGCTGTGTGTTAGACTATCTATATCTGTGACAGCTGTGTCCAGACTGTAAGCTGTGTGTTAGACTATATATATCTGTGACAGCTGTGTCCAGACTGTAAGCTGTGTGTTAGACTATCTATATCTGTGACAGCTGTGTCCAGACTGTAAGCTGTGTGTTAGACTATATATATCTGTGACAGCTGTGTCTAGACTGTAAGCTGTGTGTTAGACTATATATATCTGTGACAGCTGTGTCCAGACTGTAAGCTGTGTGTTAGACTATATATATCTGTGACAGCTGTGTCCAGACTGTAAGCTGTGTGTTAGACTATATATATATATCTGTGACAGCTGTGTCCAGACTGTAAGCTGTGTGTTAGACTATCTATATCTGTGACAGCTGTGTCCAGACTGTAAGCTGTGTGTTAGACTATCTATATCTGTGACAGCTGTGTCTAGACTGTAAGCTGTGTGTTAGACTATATATATCTGTGACAGCTGTGTCCAGACTGTAAGCTGTTAGACTATATATATCTGTGACAGCTGTGTCCAGACTGTAAGCTGTGTGTTAGACTATATATATCTGTGACAGCTGTGTCCAGACTGTAAGCTGTGTGTTAGACTATATATATCTGTGACAGCTGTGTCCAGACTGTAAGCTGTGTGTTAGACTATATATATCTGTGACAGCTGTGTCCAGACTGTAAGCTGTGTGTTAGACTATATATATCTGTGACAGCTGTGTCCAGACTGTAAGCTGTGTGTTAGACTATCTATATCTGTGACAGCTGTGTCCAGACTGTAAGCTGTGTGTTAGACTATATATATCTGTGACAGTTGTGTCCAGACTGTAAGCTGTGTGTTAGACTATATATATATATCTGTGACAGCTGTGTCCAGACTGTAAGCTGTGTGTTAGACTATATATATCTGTGACAGCTGTGTCCAGACTGTAAGCTGTGTGTTAGACTATCTATATCTGTGACAGCTGTGTCCAGACTGTAAGCTGTGTGTTAGACTATATATATCTGTGACAGCTGTGTCCAGACTGTAAGCTGTGTGTTAGACTATATATATCTGTGACAGCTGTGTCCAGACTGTAAGCTGTGTGTTAGACTATATATATCTGTGACAGCTGTGTCCAGACTGTAAGCTGTGTGTTAGACTATATATATCTGTGACAGCTGTGTCCAGACTGTAAACTGTGTGTTAGACTATATATTAGTGACAGCTGTGTCCAGACTGTAAGCTGTGTGTTAGACTATATATTAGTGACAGCTGTGTCCAGACTGTAAGCTGTGTGTTAGACTATATATATCTGTGACAGCTGTGTCCAGACTGTAAGCTGTGTGTTAGACTATCTATATCTGTGACAGCTGTGTCCAGACTGTAAGCTGTGTGTTAGACTATATATATCTGTGACAGCTGTGTCCAGACTGTAAGCTGTGTGTTAGACTATATATATCTGTGACAGCTGTGTCCAGACTGTAAGCTGTGTGTTAGACTATCTATATCTGTGACAGCTGTGTCCAGACTGTAAGCTGTGTGTTAGACTATATATATCTGTGACAGCTGTGTCCAGACTGTAAGCTGTGTGTTAGACTATATATATCTGTGACAGCTGTGTCCAGACTGTAAGCTGTGTGTTAGACTATATATATCTGTGACAGCTGTGTCCAGACTGTAAGCTGTGTGTTAGACTATCTATATCTGTGACAGCTGTGTCCAGACTGTAAGCTGTGTGTTAGACTATCTATATCTGTGACAGCTGTGTCCAGACTGTAAGCTGTGTGTTAGACTATATATATCTGTGACAGCTGTGTCCAGACTGTAAGCTGTGTGTTAGACTATATATATCTGTGACAGCTGTGTCCAGACTGTAAGCTGTGTGTTAGACTATATATATCTGTGACAGCTGTGTCCAGACTGTAAGCTGTGTGTTAGACTATCTATATCTGTGACAGCTGTGTCCAGACTGTAAGCTGTGTGTTAGACTATATATATATATTATATATTTTATATTTTAGTCATTTAGCAGACGCTCTTATCCAGAGCGACTTACAGGAGCAAGTAGGGTTAAGTGCCTTGCTCAAGGGCACATCGACAGATTTTTCACCTAGTCGGCTCGGGGATTAGAACCAGCGACCTTTCGGTTACTGGCACAACGCTCTTAACCACTAAGCTACCTGCCGCCATATATCTGTGACAGCTGTGTCCAGACTGTAAGCTGTGTGTTAGACTATATATATATATCTGTGACAGCTGTGTCCAGACTGTAAGCTGTGTGTTAGACTATATATATCTGTGACAGCTGTGTCCAGACTGTAAGCTGTGTGTTAGACTATCTATATCTGTGACAGCTGTGTCCAGACTGTAAGCTGTGTGTTAGACTATATATATCTGTGACAGCTGTGTCCAGACTGTAAGCTGTGTGTTAGACTATCTATATCTGTGACAGCTGTGTCCAGACTGTAAGCTGTGTGTTAGACTATATATTAGTGAAAGTTGTGTCCAGACTGTGCACTTAAAGGGAGGTCACAGACACATCTATACACATCCCTTCTATCAGACTGATTGTGCTTTGCTGGGCCCGGGGAATAGTTCTGGGGCTAGCACCGGCCCTGTGTTGTGGAGCTGAAGAGGGCTGGAGCAGGCTGATAGGGCCTTCAAATGGCAGCAGGCGTTGCCCCCGCAGGCTGGGTGAACTAAAGGGCATGGCTGTCTAGCAGGTGGGCAAGGCTCTTAACAGCAACCACCCATCACCCATCATCATGGCCTGTGTCAGGCTGCCAGCTCCCTGTGTGAGCCAACTGCTTAGAGTGTTCATAGTGCCAACGTTTGGCATGGAGAGAGAGAGGGTAGGGTGTGTGTGTGTGTGCGCCTACTGTGGCTATTTGATGATTTTTGTGTGGGTGAGAAACCAGACGTTATACTAAGCTACAATTATTCTAAACATGTATGTATTCATTTCAATTGGTTTCGGCATTGGTTTTGACAAACTAAAGGAAATACCAATTATTCGGAGTAAATAGCTGAGGGGGACGTGTAAATTGCTCTGGGGTGAAATGACTGGGCCTTGGATTGTACAGCTATTATATTAGACTGTGGATAAAGTACATGGGCATTGTAATTCCATTAAAAGCCATCTGGTGTTGATGCAAAGCAAACATGACCCAGGTCATATTAATATAGACTGAAATGGACTGCATTCCAAAACTGCTGGGTAGAATCAATCACTAGCCAGTCATGCTTTTTACCAGTGTTTCGCTAAAGGCTGGTGCTAATTTCAGGTTGTTTGACCCACCTCAGGTAGGTAGTGGGGATTGGCCATCTTGGTGGTCATGTAGAACCTGAATTTCTTGTTGTAGTCGATGTCGGAGTCTCCGAGGCGGATGAGGGTGCGGCCGCCCGCCACAAACGTCTGCTTCAGCAGGATGGGCTCCAGAGCCGGGTCCACAGTCTCCTTCAGCTACTCACACACAACCAGGACACAACATGGACGTCACGGTGGTCAGTTTTACCATTCTTGATGTCGACACTTAACACAATCATTCGTCCTATTCCAAGTCAACTCACTCAGGTCTCTTTGCTAACTCTAGACCCAAAATGGCTGCCATATATACTGACCTCCTCCAGCAGTACGGGCATGCCCATGCGGATGGCGTTCTCCAGGGTTCGCAGGAAACCAGAGTCAGTCAGCTTGATCACCTTCAGACCGTTCTTGGTCTCCTTGGAACGGATCCAACGGTTGGCCTGGAGACGGACCAGACACAGTTATAAAAAGCATTTTTAATGAGGGATTGTTTGTTTTGTTTCAGGTTGGTTGAGATTGTGTAGCTAAATCATCTCAACGCCACAAGGGACAGAACACTTACATATTGTCCCTTTAAAGTATTAATGTGACCACCATTGAGGGGTCATGAAAATCCCTCTCATACCAGGAAGTCACTATGACTACTATATTGCCCATGACACAGGTGTCCAACTCATTCCACGGAGGGCCGAGTGGCTGCAGGTTTTCCCTCCTCCCTTGGACTTGATTGATGAATTAAGGTCACTATTTAGAAAAGGAACTCCCCTCACCTGGTTGTCTAGGGCTTAATGGAAAGGAAACAACTAGAACCTGCAGACACTAGGCCCTCCATGGAATGAGTTGGACACCCCTGGTCTATGATGATTCATGAACCCGGCAGGTCTGAACCACTCTCATCGACATGAATGAAAACTGACAGACAGAAATGCACTACATTTGAGTCACTCCACAGACCAGCCGTGTGTGTGTGAGTGTGTGTCTATTTGTGTGCGTTTGAGACGGTCTGCGCCAGCAGAACAATGAAGTGTCCCAATGCTAGGCTGTCAGCAAGCCTCCCTGCCTGCTTAACTCACTGCCTCTCCCCATCTCATCACGGCCTGTGTATAGCAGACAGAAACCAGTCAACAGACCGCTTCCTGGGGCAGCGCGCCCAAAGAAAGAGAGGAGGAAGAAACAAAAGATGACAGGAAGCAACATAGGAGGTGTCAGGGGACTGGAGCTAAGAGTCAAACTACAGAGTGGCCAAGCGCATGGAGTGTGTGTGTGATTACAACACAGAGAGAGTGGGAATAGTCTTAGTGTGTCAGGGCTGTTGTCTCCATGGTGATAAGGGGATAGTCTTAGTGTGTCAGGGCTGTTGTCTCCGTGGTGATAAGGGGATAGTCTTAGTGTGTCAGGGCTGTTGTCTCCGTGGTAATAAGGGGATAGTCTTAGTGTGTCAGGGCTGTTGTCTCCATGGTGATAAGGGGATAGTCTTAGTGTGTCAGGGCTGCTGTCTCCATGGTGATAAGGGGATAGTCTTAGTGTGTCAGGGCTGTTGTCTCCGTGGTGATAAGGGGATAGTCTTAGTGTGTCAGGGCTGTTGTCTCCGTGGTGATAAGGGGATAGTCTTAGTGTGTCAGGGCTGTTGTCTCCGTGGTGATAAGGGGATAGTCTTAGTGTGTCAGGGCTGTTGTCTCCATGGTGATAAGGGGATAGTCTTAGTGTGTCAGGGCTGTTGTCTCCGTGGTGATAAGGGGATAGTCTTAGTGTGTCAGGGCTGTTGTCTCCGTGGTGATAAGGGGATAGTCTTAGTGTGTCAGGGCTGTTGTCTCCATGGTGATAACACTATGGCTCTCTTGCCTTGTTCCAGGCTGGGGTCTGGGAATGGGAGTCAGGGTTTGTTCCAGGCTGGGGTCTGGGAATGGGAGTCAGGGTTTGTTCCAGGCTGGGGTCTGGGAATGGGAGTCAGGGTTTGTTCCAGGCTGGGGTCTGGGAATGGGAGTCAGGGTTTGTTCCAGGCTGGGGTCTGGGAATGGGAGTCATGGTGTGTTCCAGGCTGGGATCTGGGAATGGGAGTCAGGGTTTGTTCCAGGCTGGGGTCTTGGAATGGGAGTCAGGGTTTGTTCCAGGCTGGGGTCTGGGAATGGGAGTCAGGGTTTAAGCCCCACACATTTCAATATAACTGTTATTTTAGCAGATGTAGCCACAGAAAAATAACTCTGGTCATCATAGCCAATACAAGAATAGAGAAAATTACCTGTTGCGACGTATAAGATACCTGGAATAAGGTACCTGGGATATTGAATCGATTGAATCCACATGAGATGAAAAGTGTAGGAATAGAAAATACTTATAATTGATTGATAGATTGATTAATTGGGTCACCTGATCCTGAGGGTCGATCATGAGTGGCCAGCGGTGTCCCCGAGTAACCAGGATTCCGTTCTCAGTGGAAACGGTGTCTCGGGGCAACCCCTCGGCGTTCCACAGGCGGATCTCATAGGGGTTGCCCAGGATGTTGATGAGGCTGAAGCTGGCGCTGATGGGGATGCCCAACTCTTGGCATCGCGCAATCCACTGGTCTATCAGCTACACACACACACACATACACACACACACACACACACATACACACACACACAAACACAAACGAGACACACACACACACACACACACACACGTTGATCAACAATCAGAGCCTTGTCAATTCAGGATGAATGAACATTCCCAAGTCATCTGACTCCATAACCATCTGCCATAACAGAGACAGTGGTAGTATTGACAGACAGTACAGAGACAGTGGTAGTACTGACAGACAGTACAGAGACAGTGGTAGTATTGACAGACAGCACAGAGACAGTGGTAGTACTGACAGACAGTACAGAGACAGTGGTAGTATTGATAGACAGTACATAGACAGTGGTAGTATTGACAGACAGTGGTAGTCCCGTGTAGCTCAGTTGGTAGAGCATGGCGCTTGCAACGCCAGGGTTGTGGGTTCGATTCCCACGGGGGACCAGTATGAGAAAAAAAAAAATTTATAACTGTAAGTCGCTCTGGATAAGAGCGTCTGCTAAATGACAAATGTAAAATGTAATGTAAATGTGGTAGTATTGACAGACAGTACAGAGACAGTGGTAGTATTGACAGCCAGTACAGAGACAGTGGTAGTATTGACAGACAGTACAGAGACAGTGGTAGTATTGACAGACAGTACAGAGACAGTGGTAGTATTGACAGACAGCACAGAGACAGTGGTAGTATTGACAGTACAGAGACAGTGGTAGTATTGACAGACATCACAGAGACAGTGGTAGTATTGACAGACAGTACAGAGACACTGGTAGTATTGATAGTACAGAGACAGTGGTAGTATTGAGAGACAGTACAGAGACAGTGGTAGTATTGACAGACAGCACAGAGACAGTGGTAGTATTGACAGTACAGAGACAGTGGTAGTATTGACAGACAATACAGAGACAGTGGTAATATTGACAGACAGTACAGAGACAGTGGTAGTATTGACAGACAGCACAGAGACAGTGGTAGTATTGACAGTTCAGAGACAGTGGTAGTATTGACAGACAGTACAGAGACAGTGGTAGTATTGACAGGATAGTGGTAGTATTGACAGACAGTACAGAGACAGTGGTAGTATTGACAGACAGTACAGAGACAGTGGTAGTATTGACAGACAGTACAGAGACAGTGGTAGTATTGACAGACAGTACAGAGACAGTGGTAGTATTGGCAGACAGTACAGAGACAGTGGTAGTATTGACAGACAGTACAGAGACAGTGGTAGTATTGACAGACAGTACAGAGACAGTGGTAGTATTGACAGTACAGAGACAGTGGTAGTATTGACAGACAATACAGAGACAGTGGTAGTATTGACAGACAGCACAGAGACAGTGGTAGTATTGACAGTACAGAGACAGTTGTAGTATTGACAGACAATACAGAGACAGTGGTAGTATTGACAGACAGTACAGAGACAGTGGTAGTATTGACAGACAGCACAGAGACAGTGGTAGTATTGACAGTACAGAGACAGTGGTAGTATTGACAGACAGTACAGAGACAGTGGTAGTATTGACAGACAGCACAGAGACAGTGGTAGTATTGACAGACAGTACAGAGACAGTGGTAGTATTGACAGACAGTACAGAGACAGTGGTAGTATTGACAGCCAGCCAGACAGACCCAGTGGGTTGAGGGGAGTGAGGGCCATTAGGACAGTGTGCCAGTGTGGGCAGGGAGTCTGACCCAAGGTCTGGCTCTCTGTCTGGCCCGAGGGAGAGAGGTGGGAGAATAGACACTGTCTGGAACAGCCAGGCTTCACTGGGTTTGGTTCAATAGTGTACGGAGAACATCCAGCAATTTTCAGACGCAGGGTGCAAAAGTAGAGTAAAGGTATATAACAGATATTAAGAAATGTGTATGAAGAAACTCTCTATAGAGGCCATACATACCAGGTGTCTCCAGTGCAAGGGGAAGGCTGTGTAGTTTAGAATGGTTATAATGCTACATACTGTAGTAGGTTATAGTGATAATTAGCTGGCTGTATGTACCAGTTGTCTATAATGCATTGTAAAGGCTCCGTAGTATGCGACGCAGGCTGCAGCGATGAAGACGTTTCCCACCACGTTGTGGATCTCCTGTTCGAACAGTTCGATGCTCTCCTGCCAGCGAACCTGCTCATCCCCCAGAGCTGCTGTCAGCTTCCCTGCCCGGCCCAGCCTCGCCTCGGTCAGAGCCATGGTCTTAGCTGGGGGTGAGGGAGACGGTAGGGGGGAGGGAGAGAGTTCATGTAGCAGACAGCAGACAGAGCAGATTGGCACACTGTAGATTAGTCCTGACATGTTCCTGGAACTTGGGTTTGTCTTTGAAAACATTGTGGGAACTTTAAGTGCCAACATGATGGAAATCATGTGCCAGAATCTGTCAAACTCAGTCTGTCAATGGCTCTGGGAGAAAACATTTAAGAGGCCTTGAAGGTCCTTACCCTCCTCCTCTATAACTCTTACCCTCCTCCTCTCTAACTCTTACCATCCTCCTCTCTAACTCTTACCCTCCTCCTCTATAACTCTTACCCAGACCCTCCTCCTCTCTAACTCTTACCCTCCTCCTCTCTAACTCTTACCCTCCTCCTCTCTAACTCTTACCCTCCTCCTCTCTAACTCTTACCCAGACCCTCCTCCTCTCTAACTCTTACCCTCCTCCTCTCTAACTCTTACCCAGACCCTCCTCCTCTCTAACTCTTACCCTCCTCTCTAACTCTTACCCTCCTCCTCTAACTCTTACCCTCCTCCTCTCTAACTCTTACCCTCCTCCTCTCTAACTCTTACCCTCCTCCTCTCTAACTCTTACCCTCCTCCTCTCTAACTCTTACCCAGACCCTCCTTCTATAACTCTTACCCAGACCCTCCTTCTCTGCGATGCTCTGGTCAAACTGGTCCTGGAGGATCTTAATCTTGTTCTGTACTTCCTGTAGCTGGGCCTGCTTCTCCTTCAGGGTTGCCATGGTAGCGTTCAGCTCCATCTGCAGCCAGAAGGGTGGGATTAGAAAACAAATAACTAATACAGTACTTAGTAAAGAACATCTGACACAGCACTTCCTGTTGACGTTTTCTCTTCCAATATGACCCAGTGGGCGGATGGCGTGCGTGTGTGCCACTGACCTGTGCGGCGGCCAGTCTTTCTTTCTTGGGTCCGACCTCCTTCAGGACTCTGGAGTAGAGGTCCATGGCCCGGACCCACATACACATGGACTTGCAGGCCTTGGACACCTTCTCCACCTTCTCAGGGACGAAGTCCGGGTTGTTCACATACTTCTGGAGCTAAAGAAAAACAACAACATTCAAAATCATCATTATTTAGTTTGTGTCCCAAATGACACCTTATTCTCTATATAGTGCACTACTTTGGACCAGAGGGAGGGGGGTTCTGCAAATGTATTGAAAATCGCACCACACCTTTACAGTAAAACAACGCAGTGAAAGAAATACAAGCAAATAATGAAGCCAATACAGGAAGACATGGTTAGAATAAGATTTTTAAAAAGCAACAATGTCTAAAAGAGTTAGTGAACTGACCTTCTGGAGGATCTGGGGCTTCATGTTTTCCTTGTCGTATTCCATCAGCTTCCTGAGGAAGTAGGAGTCACCTAGCACCTGCTTGGCACTGGACCAGTCTGGTCTGGAGAGGGGAGAGGGAGAGAGAAATAAAAAGTTGAGGTAAGGAGATAGAGATAGAGAGAGAACGAGAGAGAAATACAGTGTATGTGTGTACAGAGGAGAAACACCAAAACACAGTCTCACTGACACGCTAAAACACTGACACGGGTACAACACACGACTGATTCACACTAGCTAACAGGCATGATATGAGTACAGACAGGAAACAGCAGAGAAAACACCAGTCACCATTCCAGATGACACATTATTCTATCTGACAGACAGAGACAAGAGGACACGAGTCTTCACTACCTCCTTGTCAAGCAGAGCAGTAGTAGAGTCCTGACTGATCGACTGACCTCAGCCAGTCTCCTATACTGTGCCCTACAGCTATCTTCTGTCTACGGGTCAAATGACAACATATTACCTATAGGGTTTGTATGCAGGGATGGAAATGTATTTAGCCCACTAGCCCGAGGCTAGTTCTGTCCAGCTAGTAGAAAATGTCCCCAACTAGCCCGCCGGCTAGATACATTGTGTCTTTTCAAATATTCCACGGCACAGATTTTCATCCCAAGTTCCATCCCAGTGTGTGTGCATAGGGAGTCACTGGTACAGTAGTATCAGTTGTTGCTACGTTAGCCATCCATACATTGGCAGCCAAGAATAATACGCTATTAGCTAATGCATTAGTTAACCCTTCATGGACTGACTTGCTGCAGAGACACATCAATGATTACGTTATCAATCTGTATCCAAGCATCGCTAGCTGACTGACATGCAGCTGAGATGCATCAATCATAATGTTGTCAATACGTTGTCAACACGTTAACTAAGTGTCGTCAGGGGACTGACTTGCTGCCGAGCAGGATGCAGACAGCCTCCATGACGGTCATGACCATGTCGGGTGGTTTGGTGAAGACCCTGATTTCTGAGATGTCTGCCTTGTCCAGCGAGTCCAGGGCCTTGTTGGCACCTTCCAGAGCGGGCAGAGCCTCGTCTAGATCCCTCTGGGCATCGGCTGCTATGGCCTGGGTGTCCTCAGCCTTCACCTTGGCTAAGGCCTCATCCTCCTTCACCACTTTACGCACCTGGACACACACACAGAGACAGACAGACAGACATAGAAGCAGTACACTTGAATAGGTGTGTACATGAAGACAAAACACCAACACACTAATATACATTCCCCTTAGACCCACACACTCCCCCTAGACCCACACACTCCCCCTAGACCCACACACTCCCCCTAGACCCACACACTCCCCCTAGACCCACACACTCCCCCTAGACCCACACACTCCCCCTAGACCCACACACTCCCCCTAGACCCACACTCCCCCTAGACCCACACACTCCCCCTAGACACACACACTCCTCCTAGACACACACACTCCCCCTAGACCCACACTCCCCCTAGACCCACACACTCCCCCTAGACCCACACACTCCCCCTAGACCCACACACTCCCCCTAAACACACACACACTCCCCCTAGACACACACTCTCCCTAGACCCACACACTCCCCTAAACACCCACACTCTCCCTAGACCCACACACTCCTCCTAGACACACACTCCCCCTAGACCCACACTCTCCCCCTAGACCCACACTCCCCCTAGACCCACACACTCCCCCTAGACCCACACACTCCCCCTAGACCCACCCACTCCCCCTAGACCCACACACTCCCCCTAGACCCACACACTCCCCCTAAACACACACACTCCCCTAGACACACACACTCCCCCTAGACCCACACACTCCCCCTAGACCCACACACTCCCCCTAGACCCACACACTCCCCTAGACACACACACTCCCCCTAGACCCACACACTCCCCCTAAACACACACACTCCACCTAGACCCACACTCCCCCTAGACCCACACACTCCCCCTAAAACCACACACTCCCCCTAGAACCACACACTCCCCCTAGACCCACACACTCCCCCTAGACCCACACACTCCCCCTAGACCCACACACTCCCCCTAGACCCACACTCCCCCTAGACCCACAAACTCCCCCTAGACCCACACACTCCCCCTAGACCCACACTCCCCCTAGACCCACACACTCCCCCTAGACACACACACTCCTCCTAGACACACACACTCCCCCTAGACCCACACACTCCCCCTAGACCCACACACTCCCCCTAGACCCACACTCCCCCTAGACCCACACACTCCCCCTAAACACACACACACTCCCCCTAGACACACACACTCTCCCTAGACCCACACACTCCCCCTAAACACCCACACTCTCCCTAGACCCACACACTCCTCCTAGACACACACTCCCCCTAGACCCACACTCTCCCCCTAGACCCACACTCCCCCTAGACCCACACACTCCCCCTAGACCCACACACTCCCCCTAGACCCACCCACTCCCCCCTAGACCCACACACTCCCCCTAGACCCACACACTCCCCCTAAACACACACACTCCCCCTAGACCCACACACTCCCCCTAGACCCACACACTCCCCCTAGACCCACACACTCCCCCTAGACCCACACACTCCCCCTAGACCCACACACTCCCCCTAGACACACACACTCCCCCTAGACCCACACACTCCCCCTAAACACACACACTCCACCTAGACCCACACTCCCCCTAGACCCACACACTCCCCCTAAAACCACACACTCCCCCTAGAACCACACACTCCCCCTAGACCCACACACTCCCCCTAGACCCACACACTCCCCCTAGAACCACACACTCCCCCTAGACCCACACACTCCCCCTAGAACCACACACTCCCCCTAGAACCACACACTCCCCCTAGAACCACACACTCCCCCTAGACCCATACACTCCTCCTAGACCCACACACTCCTCCTAGACACACACTCCCCCTAGAACCACACACTCCCCCTAGACCCACACACTCCCCCTAGACCCACACACTCCCCCTAGACACACACACTCCTCCAAGACACACACTCCCCCTAGACACACACACTCCCCCTAAACACACACACTCCCCCTAGACCCACACACTCCCCCTAGACCCACACACTCCCCCTAGACCCACACACTCCCCCTAGACACACACTCCTCCTAGACCCACACACATTCACCTAGAAAAACACCCTTCCCACCCCCACAGAGACTCGTACCTTGTCGGCGCTCTCCTGGTCAACAGCTAGTTTCCCTAGCGCCACCCTATACCCACCTTGTCTGCGCTCTCCTGGTCAACAGCTAGTTTCCCTAGCACCACCCTATACCCACCTTGTCTGCGCTCTCCTGGTCAACAGCCAGTTTCCCCATGAGGGCGTTGACGTCTATAGACTTCTGTTTGAGGACAGGCTCCAGGGCTGACAGGTCTATCTTCATCTTATCCACCAACACGTTGGTCTCCAACAGCTTAGTCAGACCGTTCTTTACCCTGTCACGAGCCTACACACAGGGATTGGAATATACACACACACAAACACACAATTTATTGGATTGACTGGAGAATAGAATTGATGCCCATTCAGAGAAATAGCCACTTTTCAAAGAAACCACAGTGTGCTAAACTGGAGTATTGATATCATTAAACAACAAATACACTACATGACCAAAAGTACGTGAACACCTGCTCGTCAAAAATCTCATTCCAAAATCCTGGGCATTAATATGGAGTTGGTCCCCCCTTTGCTGCTATAACAGCCTCCACTCTTCTGGGAAGGCTTTCCACTAATGTTGGAACATTGCTGCGGGGACTTGCTTCCATTCAGACACAAGAGCATTAGTGAGGTCTGGCACTGATGTTGGGCGATTAGGCCTGGCTTGCAGTCAGCGTTCCAATTCATCCCAAAGGTGTTCGATGGAGTTGAGGTCAGGGCTCTGTGCAGGCCAGTCAAGTTCTTCCACACCAATCTCGACAAACCATTTCTGTTTGGACCTCGCTTTGTGCACGGGGGCATTGTCATGCTGAAACAGGAAAGGGCCTTCCCCAAACTTGTTGCCACAAAGCTGGAAGCACAGAATCGTCTAGAATGTCATTGTATGCTATAGCGTTAAGATTTCCCTTCACTGGAACTAAGGGGCCTAGCCCGAACCATGAAAAACAGCCCCAGACCATTATTCCTCCTCCACCAAACTTTACAGTTGGCACTATGCATTGGGGCAGGTAGCTTGTAGCGTTCTCCTGGCATCAGTCAGACTGCCAGACGGTAAAGCGTGATTCATCACTCCAGAGAGCGGGTTTCCACTGCTCTAGAGTCCAATGGCGGCGAGCTTTACACCACTCCAGGCGACACTTGGCATTGCGCATGGTGATCTTAGACTTGTGTGCGGCTGCTCGGCCATGGAAACCCATTTAATGAAGCTCCGGAAGAACAGTTCTTGTGCTGACGTTGCTTCCAGAGGCAGTTTAGAACTCAGTAGTGAGTGTTGCCACAGAGGCAGCGCTATGCGCTTCAGCACTCGGCGATCCCGTTCTGTGAGCTTGTGTGGCATATCACTTTGCGGCTGAGCCGTTGTTGCTCCTAGACGTTTCCACTTCACAATAACATCACTTACAGTTGACCGGGGCAGCTCTAGCAGGGCAGAAATCTGACAAACTGACTTGTTGGAAAGGTGGCATCCTATGACGGTGCCACGTTGAAAGTCACTGAGCTCTTCAGTAAGGCCATTCAACTGCCAATGTTTGTATATGGAGATTGCATGGCTGTGTGCTCAATTTTATACACCTGTCAGCAACGTGTTTGGCTGAAATAGCTGAATCCACTCATTTGAAGGGGTGTCCACATACTTTTGTATATATAGTATATCATGGATGTCTCACAGCCGCTGTATTTTCTATTGCTAATCAGTATTATAGATCTGTCTCTGACAGCCACTAGTTGCTGTCTCTTCTCTCCCAACATGGCCAGGTAGAGGTTAATATTAGTTATTGATTATGAAACAGTATTAATCATTAGTATTATTGATCTCTTACAGCAACTAGTTGCTGTCTCTTCTCTCCCAACATGGCCAGGTAGAGGTTAATCAGTTCCAGGTAAGAGGTAGGAGTAGTGTAATAGCGTCGTCTCAGCTCAGAGTAGAACCTCTCGGCCATGTCCGTCACACTGACGTGGATCTCCACACACATCTCACTGAAACGATCCTTCATCTCCTCACTGCCAAACTCCACGTTCTGGAAGAAGGTCTGGGACACGGAGAGGAGGGCCTCACGGGGCCACTACAGGGGGAGAGGAGGGGAAGAGGGAAAGAGAGAGGAATGGAACGAAGAGAGAGGAATGGAAAGAAGAGAGAGGGATGGAAAGAAGAGAGAGGGATGGTTAGATAGTAGGAGAAAGTGGGTGAAAAAGGAGGAAATGAAGAAAGACAAAGAGAGAGCGTGATCAAGAGAGAGTAAAAATGAACATGCTAGACAGAGAGAGAGAGAGAGCGAGAGAGAGAGAGAGAGAGAGAGAGAGAGAGAGAGAGAGAGAGGGCACCCAGTGAAGAACAAACACCATTGTAAATACAACCCATATTTATTTTCCCATTTGTACTTTAACTATTTGCACATTGTTACAACACTGTATATATACATAATATGACATTTGAAATGTATTTATTCTTTTGGAACTTCTGAATGTAATGTTTACTGTTAATATTTATTGTTTATTTCACTTTTGTTTACTATCTACTTCACTTGCTTTGGCAATGTTAACATACGTTTCCCATGCCAATAAAGCCCTTAAAATGAATTGAAATTGAATTGAAATTGAATTGAGAGAGAGAGAGAGAGAGAGAGAGAGAGAGACTCCTTTTAAACAAGCAGAATGAAGTATTCTCTAAATAAACACCTGACTGCACCTGACTGCTCCTACTCAGTGGGGGTCACCCTGATGGAGGGATGGGAGCAGAGGAGAGGAGAGAGGGTGATGAAAATAAACAGGCAGATTAAAGGAGGTGGAACGAGAGAAGAGAGGGGCGCGCTTCGCTAATGGACAGCTGGGGCGAGCCCCCGCCCTGTGATCCATCACACACACACACACACACCCCGGAGTGCCTGACAAACAATACTGATGGAGATGAGTGGAGGAGCGTTTCACCCTGAGAGCACCCAGTGACAGCATACTCCTCATTACAGAGAGTAAATGAGTGTGTGTGTTTGACTAAGAGTGGACTATCCACCAATTAGACAGAAATATACACTGAGAGAGAGAGAGAGAGAGAGAGAGAGAGAGAGAGAGAGAGAGAGAGAGAGAGGGGGAGGGAGAGAGAGGAAGAGAGAGAGAGGGGGAAGAGAGAGAGCGGGGGAGAGAGAGAGTGGGAGAGAGAGAGCGAGAGAGAGCGAGAGCGAGAGCGAGAGCGAGAGCGAGAGCGAGAGAGAGAGAGAGAGAGAGAGAGTGTGAAGGGGAGAGAGAGAAAGAGAGAGAGAGGGGGAGAGAGAGCGAAGGGGAGAGAGAGCAAGGGGGAGAGAGAGAGAGAGAGCGAGAGGCAAGCACACACACACACACAGAGAGCGCATGTCCTGACCTGTACAAACCAGTCGATGGTGCAGCAGTTGACCAGAGAGGGGAACATACGACAGCGGGACCTGAAGGCATCTCCTACAGGACTCATACACAACACAATGTGCAGCTTCTCTCTGACCCGAGAGATGAAGAACTGGAACACCTACACACACACACACACACACAGGGAGACACACAGAGGTTACATACACACATACACTACCAGTCAAAAGTTTGGACACACCTACTCATTCAAGGGTTTTTCTTTATTTTTTACTATTTTCTACATTGTTGAATCACAGTGAAGACCTCAAAACTATGAAATAACACATATGGAATCATGTAGTAACCAAAAAAAGTGTTAAAATCAAAATTTATTTTTTATTTGGAGATTCTTCAAAGTAGCCACCCTTAGCCTTGATGACAGCTTTGCACACTCTTGGCATTCTCTCAACCAGCTTCACCTGGAATGCTTTTCCAACAGTCTTGAAGGAGTTCCCACATATGCTGAGCAATTGTTGGCTGCTTTACCTTCACTCTGTGGTCCAACTCATCCCACTCCGCGACCCACACGCTGCAGCGCTGTGGTTCAGCAGATGATGATGCGCTGTCAGCCAATGACTTGTCATTCCCACTCGCCATCACTCACCGCTGTCATCAAATGGAGTCGAGCTAGCCACAAGTTCTGACTGAGCTCAATCGTCATAAAACGCAAATATAGCGACGAGTTTCTCTCTCTTGGTTTCAAACAAACTGAGAAATAATGAGGAGCGCCCACAATGTGTTTTGTGAGGGGAAGTGCCTAGTAATGAGTCTCTCAAAACGAATAAATTAATAAAATGACACGTCCTGACCAAACATCCACAGCATGACGGGAAACCCAGGGAGTTCTTTCAGAACAGGGCAGAGTGCTTCAGGAAACAGTGCTTCCACAGTGGAAAAGTAAGTCAGCTAGCAAGGCATTGTTGTCATTTTTATAACAGGTGATAAGCAGCAATAAGGGAGGACTATCTCTCATAGTAGTAGATGTGAGTCTGTCTTTCAAACATTTCCCTTGTACACAGCTATAACAGCTAGATAGCTAACGTTAGCCAAAGCAAACTAGCTAGCTACTGATAGTGAAACCTTAAGTAACAGTACAGATGAAAAATGATCAGGCCTACTGTACATATTTACTGTAGAAATGATTGGTGAAAACAGGTCTAGGTTGGAACTGTTGCTGTTGCTGTTGCAAGCAATCATTTTTTATTTTGAACTGGAATAAACTGATTGAAGCAAGATGCTTTTTGAGGCAAACCCACTCACACAGTTCTGGGTTGCGAATCTACAGCAGGAAGCGGTCTCCTGCCTGGCTGAGAAAGCTGTAGATGTTCTGATCCAGTTTGGCACCACATACCTATCCCAGTCAGGGTTCATAACTCTGGCGTACTTAAAAAACAAGTACAGAAACAGACTGCATGCTGAGCATTACCTCAGGGTTGCACTGTCAAAAACTGAGCTCAGAATAGACATGCTTGTTGAAGCTTCAACCAGCCACACAACTCTCATTAGGACTGTGTGTGTGTGTGTGTGTGTGTGTGTGTGTGTGTGTGTGTGTGTGTGTGTGTGTTGTGTGTGTGTGTGTCTGTTTTCTGGTCTACATCTGTGTGATGTGATCAATCAGTTTATTCCAGTTCAGAATGAAAATGATTTATTGTATTTTAACAGCAACAGTTCCGACCTAGACAGATATCTAAGAGTGTTTTTAAGCGGGGGAAATAAACATGAATAGCTATTTATATGGGTATTTCATTTCATTGTTGTTTTTGTCTATATTGCATTTGTTTTAAGTATAAGGGCAATGAAATGTACCGATATTTACGTATAGTTGCATGTTTTCATAAGCTTGGGTCCCAGGAAAACGCAGAATGTCTAATTTGGGTCCCAGGCTGAAAGAGTTTAAGAACCCCTGCTCTAACACATGAGAGGATATCAACGAGTGTAGTTTAGACTGAGGCCAAACTCATACATGAATGATTTTTTCCACATTTTGTTACGTTACAGCCTTATTCTAAAATGGATTCAATTACTTTTTATCACTCATCAATCTGCACACAATATCCCATAATGACAAAGCGAGAAAAAAAAAAACATTTGCAAATGTTTCTACAACTTGATTGGAGTAAATTCAATTGATTGGACATGATTTGGAAAGGCACACACCTGTCTATATAAGGTCCCACAGTTGACAGTGCATGTCAGAGCAAAAACCAAGCCATGAGGTCGAAGGAATTGTCCGTAGAGCTCCGAGACAGGATTGTGTCGAGGCACAGATCTGGGGAAGGGTACCAAAAAATGTCTGGAGCAATAAAGGTCCCCAAGAACACAGTGGCCTCCATAATTCTTAAATGGAAGCTGTTTGGAACCAGCAAGACTCTTCCTAGAGCTGGCTACCCAGCCAAACTGAGCAATCGGAGAAGAAGGGCCTTGGTCAGGTAGGTGACCAAGAACCAGATGGTCACTGACAGAGCTCCAGAGTTCCTCTGTGGAGGTTGGAGAACCTTCCAGAAGGACAACCATCTCTGCAGCACTACACCAATCAGGCCTTTATGGTAGAGTGGCCAGACAGAAGCCACTCCTCAGTAAATGGCACATGACAGCCCACTTGGAGTTTACTAAAAGGCACCTAAAGGACTCTCAGACCATGAGATTCTCTGGTCTGATGAAACCAAGATTGAACTCTATGGCCTGAACAGTCACTTGGGGCGGCAGGTAGCTTAGTGGGTAAGAGCGTTGTGCAAGTAACCGAAAGGTCGCTGGTTCTAATCCCCGAGCCGACTAGGTGAAAGATCTGTCGATGTGCCCTTGAACAAGGCACTTAACCCTAATTGCTCCTGTAAGTCGCTCTGGATAAGAGCGTCTGCTAAATGACTAAAATGTAAATGAACGCCAAGCGTCACATCTGGAGGAAACCTGGCACCATCCCTATGGTGAAGCATGGTGGTGGCAGCATCATGCTGTGGGGATGTTTTCAGCGGCAGGGACTGGGAGACTACTCAGGATCGAGGGAAAAATGAACGGTGCAAAGTACAGAGAGATCCTTGATGAAAACCTGTTCCAGAGCGCTCAGGACCTCAGACAGGTGCGAAGGTTCACCTTCCAACAGGACAACCACCCTAAGCACACAGCCAAGACAACGCAGGAGTGGTTTCGGGACAAGTCTCTGAATGTCCTTGAGTGGCCCAGCCAGAGCCTGGACTTGAACCCAATCGAACATCTCTGGAGTGACCTGAAAATAGCTGTGCAGCGACGCTCCCCATCCAACCTGACAGAGCTTGAGAGGATCTGCAGAGAAGAATGGGAGAAACTCCCCAAATACAGGTGTGCCAAGCTTGTAGTATCATACCGAAGAATACTTAATTTTTTATACATTTGCAAACATTTCTAAAACACAGTTTTTGCTTTGTCATTATGGGGTATTGTGTGTAGATTGATGAGGGAAAAACAAAACAATGTAATCCATTTTAGAATGAGGCTGTAATTTAACAAAATGTGGAAAAAGTCAATGGGTCTGAATACTTTCCGAATGCACTGTACATTTTGTTTTGAATAAATAGCTAGCTTTATATAAATAAATGTATAAATATTAATAAATGGTACATGCATAAATATTACACATGCATTCATTTTATTTCACCTTTATTTTGACAGGGAGTCATGCTGAGACCGAGGTCTCTTTTACAGATGAGTCCTGTAATTACAATTATATTGCAAGTGTGTGTGTGTGTGTGTAAGTATATGCATGTGTGTGTGTGTGTGTGTACTCTACTGTACCTCGTCTCGGTTTCCCTCGTTGATGCCGGCCTCCTTGGCTCTGGGCCGTGTGACAGCCAGGACCTGCTCCAGATCATCCTTCTCAAACAGGTTGGGCACCTCTCCACTGTTCAACATGTTGTTGATGTCCTCTAGGAACTCCTCTACCACAATCTGATGACCAATAATACTCATGTAATGGAGGGGGTGATGTAAACCTGCCTGAGAACTGAAGACTGAAGCAATAGCTTCCAGGGCTACTGCCTTGGCTTTTGCTCAGTGGGGTAATGAGGTCTTGAGTCGGTTGGTTTGACAAGCTGATGGTCACAGATATACACTGGCTCATAACTCCTTCATTAGCTGTCCGGTACAGTCTTTATGGAGTAACCTGCTAACTACCCATCACATAACCTACATAACTACTACTGTCTGGTACAGTCTTTTTGGTGTAACCTGCTAACTACCCATCACATAACCTACATAACTACTACTGTCTGGTACAGTCTTTATGGTGTAACCTGCTAACTACCCATCACATAACCTCCATGCACAAACACCTGTACTTGCAAACTCTCCCCCTACCTGTGTATCAGTGAAGAGGAACACCATGTCCTTGCCCTCCACCCCAGCCATCTTGAACAGTCGTCTCAGGTCTTCATGGAAGCTGTCGTAGTTATAACCTCGGCTCAGTTCTATCTGGAAGCAGCGCATACCGCACATGTGGGCCGCCAGCCGCGTCAGTGACTGTTTCCCCGTGCCCCCCACGCCTACCAATAGGGCGTTACCTCGCTCCTGCCGGATCATACGCGCTATCCTATAGGAACAGAGGGGCGGGGTTAGGAAGTAAGCAATTTAACAAATTGAAGCATAATAAAAATACATACAGTACCAGTCAAAAGTTTGGACACACCCACTCATTCAAGGGTTTTCCTTTAGTTTTACTATTTTCTACATTGTAGAATCATAGTGAAGACATCAAAACTATGAAATAACACATATGGAATCATGTAGTAACCAAAAACAAATCAAAATATATTTTATATTTTAGATTCTTCAAAGTAGCCACCGTTGGCCTTGATGAAAACTTTGCACACTCTTGGCATTCTCTCAACCAGTTTCACCTGGAATGCTTTTCCAACAGTCTTGAAGGAGTTCCCACATATGCTGATCACTTGTTGGCTGCTTTTCCTTCACTCTGCGGTCCAACTCATCCCAAACCATCTCAATTGGGTTGAGGTCGGGTGATTGTGGAGGCCAGGTCATCTGATGCAGCACTCCATCACTCTCCTTCTTGGTAAAATAGCCCCTACACAGCCTGGAGGTGTGTTGGGTCATTGTCCTGCTGAAAAACAAATGATAGTCCCACTAAGCGCAAACCATATGGGATGGCGTATCGCTGCAGAATGCTGTGGTAGCCATGCTGGTTAAGCGTGCCTTGAATTCTAAATAAATCACTGACAAGTGTCACCAGCAAAGCACCACCACACCATCACACCTCCTCCTCCATGCGTCACGGTGGGAACCACACATGCAGAGATCATCCGTTCACCTACTCTGCGTCTCACAAAGACACGTCGGTTGGAACCAAAAATCTCAAATTTGGACTCATCAGACCAAAGGACAGATTTCCACCGGTCTAATGTCCATTACTTGTGTTTCTTGGCCCAAACAAGTCTGTTCTTCTTATTGGTGTCCTTTAGTAGTGGTTTCTTTGCAGCAATTCCACCATGAAGGTCTGATTCAAGCAGTTTCCTCTGAACAGTTGATGTTGAGATGTGTCTGTTACTTGAACTCTGTGAAGCATTTATTTGGCCTGCAATTTCTGAGGCTGGTAACTCTAATGAACTTATCCTCTGCAGCAGAGGTGACTCTGGGTCTTCCTTTCCTGTGGCGGTCCTCATGGGAGGCAGTTTCATCATAGCGCTTGATGGTTTTTGCAACTGTACTTGAAGAAACGTTCAAAGTTCTTGAAATTTTCCGGATTGACTGACATTCATGTCTTAAAGTACTGATGGACTGTCGTTTCTCTTTGCTTATTTGAGCTGTTCTTGCCATAATATGGACTTGGTCTTTTACCAAATAGGGCTATCTTCTGTATACCCCCCTACCTTGTCACAACACAAATGATTGGCTCAAACTCATTAAGAAGGAAAGAAATTCCACAAATTAACTTAATAGGGTGTCATTAAGGATGCTAATCAGTTCACTATATAGGGAATAGGGTGTCATTAAGGATGCTAATCAGTTCACTATATAGGGAATAGGGTGTCATTAAGGATGCTAATCAGTTCACTATATAGGGAATAGGATGTCATTAAGGATGCTAATCAGTTCACTATATAGGGAATAGGGTGCGATTTCGAATGCACTCACTGCACTGATTAGGGAATAGGGTGAAATTTGGGATGCACCCTAGTGAGTTCCATAAGGAATAGGGTTCCATTTCAGACTGTACAATCACCTGGAGACATGTTCTACAGCGTCCTGGAAGAAGACTAGCTTGGTCTCCTTGGAGAAGGTCATGTTGTAGTCATCCAGGTAGTCCTGGAGTACAGCCCTGATCTTATCTGGGTCTGTTAGGTCCTCATACAGACGATCTGCCTTCTCTGCTCCCACCTAGAGGAGAGGAGAGGAGGGAGGGAGGGAGAGGAGGGAGGGAGGGAGGGAGGGAGGGAGGGAGGGAGGGGGGAGGAGGGAGGGAGGGAGGGAGGGAGGAGGGAGGGGAGGGAGGGAGGGAGGGAGGGAGGGAGGGAGGGAGGGGAGGAGGGAGGGAGGGAGGAATGGGGAGGGAGGGAGGGGAGGGAAGGAGGGAGGAATGGGGAGGGAGGGAGGGGAGGGAAGGAGGGAGGAATGGGGAGGGAGGGAGGGAGGGAGGAATGGGGAGGGAGGGAGGGAGGGAGGAATGGGGAGGGAGGGAAGGAGGGAGGGGAGGGAGGGAGGAATGGGGAGGGAGGGAGGGAGGAATGGGGAGGGAGGGAGGAGGGAGGGGAGGGAGGGAGGAATGAATGGGGAGGGAGGGAAGGAGGGAGGGGAGGGAGGGAGGGGAGGGAGGGAGGAATGAATGGGGAGGGAGGGAGGGAGGGAGGATTGCGAGATAGGTAGATGGATGCCGTAAATGTTAAGCGCTTTGAGCACCTGGGAAATTGATTGGATTTATAGGCTTATAATGCATTTTACCTTGATGAAATCTCCAAATATGATGGGTTTGGTCACAAAGTAATTGGGTTCTAAATTGAAGCCAAAATATTTGCCTGAAAGAGAAAGAAGAACGGAAATATATTTAAAGAGTTGCTATTCATAGCTCAACAATTGTGTGACATTTTAGACAAGGAAATTGAAATGGCTTTCAAACTTAATGTGTCAAAACACTGCTTAGTGAGAGGCAAAACTCTGATGGTTCAAACTAGCCGTCTAGGTTCTATTAAACTCTGTGTTATGTTCTTACTGGCCGTCTAGGTTCTATTAAACTCTGTGTTATGTTCTTACTGGCCGTCTAGGTTCTATTAAACTCTGTGTTATGTTCTTACTGGCCATCTCAGAGACGATGGTGTTGAAGTAGGTTTTGTCTTCGTTGTTGATGAGGCGGTCGTGGAACACTCTCTGACACTCGTGACAGAACAGACGGAATATCCCTGTCTGATCCCTCACTGTTCCTGGCTCACACTGCAACATACCTGGAGCAGAGACAGAGAGAGGGAGGGAAGGAGGGGATGGAGGGAGGGAGGGAGGGAGGGAGGGAGGGAGGGAGGTAAGGAGGTAGATGGATTTTATATTTTTTATTTACGACCAGAGAATAAAAAAGCATTATCCAACTTGGTGGTCCTCACCCTGGAACCTTAGCACATTAAAAACGTAAGAGAACTCTAATATATGTTGTTGACAAATCCCTGTTTTTATAAATGTTATGTAATACAATGCTAGGGATGGGTCTGACACACCAGAGGATCCATGTTAGTGTTGTTAGAAAGCCGAGGGCATTAATGTGACCTCGCTCGCCCTCAGTAAGTATGGGGGCTGGGTTGGCCTTATTCGCGTTGGGTAAGTATTAATGCTGGTGTGTGTGTGTGTGTGTTCTGCATGGTGACTCCCTAGCGGGGGTCAGGGAGCAGTAGTCACTTTAGCTCAGGCCTCTCTGCTCTGATGATGTTTGTGAGGCCGCTGGGTAGAGAAGTCTTACTGTCTCTGTCTGGACTTCAGGCTACAAGGAAGAGCATCTAAGTCCATGAGCTACTTTAATACATTTACAAGTGAATAAGCAAAGACAAACTTTCTCCCCAAGTGTGTGTGTGTGTGTGTGTGTGTGTGTGTGTGTGTGTGTGTGTGTGTGTGTCTCACCCTGGACACACTTGGAGAGGTCCCTGAGGTTGAAGACGTAGTGGGACTTGGCTGGTGTAGGCAGGAGGTCTACAGACATGCGGTGGTAGATCTCCACTGCTGCGTCTACGATGCTGCCTGCTGAAGACCTCACCGCCTGGGGGAACTCACTGAGGAAACCACTGAGGATCGCCTGGAGGGGGGAGAGACAGTTTCAACACACACGTATGTGTGTGTGTGTGTGTGTGTGTGTGTGTGTGTGTGTGTGTGTATGTTTGTATGTGTGTGTGTGTGTGTGTGTGTGTGTGTGTGTGGTCCTGAATCCCCCAAAAGTCCCCACTAGGACAGTAAAACAAAGCAAGTTCTCCCTGGTGGGGACATTTCCCACGTCCCCATGACAACAACGGCTATTTTAAGCTTAGGGGTTAGGTTTAGGGTTACAATTAGGGTTAGGGCTAGGTTTAGGGGTTAGGGGTTAGTGGTTAGGTTTAGGGGTTAAGGCGTTAGAGAAAATAGGATTTTGAATGGAAATCAATTTTAGGTCCCAAAGAGGATAGAAAAGCAAGTGTTATGATAGTTGATCTGTAATTAAACTACTACAGCTTGTTAAGGGGCTGTGAGGGAGAGGTCATGAGGAGAGTTGATCTGTAATTAAACTACCACAGCTTGTTAAGGGGCTGTGAGGGAGAGGTCATGAGGAGAGTTGATCTGTAATTAAACTACCACAGCTTGTTAAGGGGCTGTGAGGGAGAGGTCATGAGGAGAGTTGATCTGTAATTAAACTACCACAGCTTGTTAAGGGGCTGTGAGGGAGAGGTCATGAGGAGAGTTGATCTGTAATTAAACTACCACAGCTTGTTAAGGGGCTGTGAGGGAGAGGTCATGAGGAGAGTTGATCTGTAATTAAACTACCACAGCTTGTTAAGGGGCTGTGAGGGAGAGGTCATGAGGAGAGTTGATCTGTAATTAAACTACCACAGCTTGTTAAGGGGCTGTGAGAGAGAGGTCATGAGGAGAGTTGATCTGTAATTAAACTACCACAGCTTGTTAAGGGGCTGTGAGGGAGAGGTCATGAGGAGAGTTGATCTGTAATTAAACTACGACAGCTTGTTAAGGGGCTGTAAGGGAGAGGTCATGAGGAGAGTTGAAGGTTTGGAGAAGGGAGTGTGCGATAGCGGAACTTCAAGATATGTTTAGCTACTGGGATTAAAGGTCATATTAGGGTTAGGAACTGAGAGGTTGGAGGTTCATTCTTGACCATGAAGATCTGTTTGAGACTGTGCTCTTAGGCCAGGGTTTAGATGTCAGAGGTTGGAGGTCAGGGGTTACCCACATTGAAGATCTGTTTGAGGCTGTGTTCGGAGGGGGTGGGCAGACACAGCATGCTGAAGTGGCGGATGAAACGAGGGGTCACTGGGTTACGGCCCCCTCCTGGCGGAGCGCAGGCCGCCGCGATCGTCATGTCCTGCAGAGAGAAAGAGAACGAGAGAGAAGAGGGGAGGAAAGGAGGAGAGTGGGGGTCGAAAGGAAGATTTGGCACAGAAATTCCTACAACCACATTTTCATATGTATTTCAGCTCTCATATTTTCCATCAGTTCAGTCTTTCATCAATATTACATTTGACTTTCAGTTTGAAGCACATCGAACTGAGTCAGCATTTTTAGCTGAGTTAAACTTCAGAGTGAAACCCTGTTTGGATTAGAAAATATTGACATGCCCTTGGTTCTGTATTCCCTGTGTGTGTGTGTGTGTGTTTCCCTGTGTGTGTGTGTGTGTGTGTTTGCATATGACCTTGTGTGACTACTCTCTCGTGGCTGTCTTGACATGGTTGTCTGTCGTCTGTCTGTCACGTGGTGGAAACACATTTACACCCAGTACACATTCATAACTCAACAAACAGAATAACTGATTCTCTGAATTATTCACTTGTGCACACCCACACACACACACATCCACCCACACCCACACATCCACCCACACAGCCACCCCCACAGCCACCCCCACAGATGAATTAGTCCCTAATACGTACAAATAGCACCTTTTAATGTTCTGGGTGCTATCGGAAAGTAATTACCGTTTGCTGACCATTCACAACAGTAACAGAAGACTAAAACACACACATTGTACTGTAGTAGAATAATGTACCCTATCAGCTCCTGGACCTGGGCCTGCAATCTTACATATACATTACGGACCTCAGACCAACCCTCTGTCTGAATACTAAACAAGTGAATGTATTCACTGACCGTGAACAAAAAGTCACTTATTTTTCTCAGACTTAAAAAAAACGACTGCAGCAGAATGTTTTACCTAATATCCTCAAGGCCAGACAAGGTGAGACTCTGTCTACATATTAAACAAGACTGTGTGTGTGTGTGTGTACCTGGATCTCCTTCCAGAAGAACTTCTCTCGGTCGTAGAAGCCGTGGAAGTCCTGGAACTGTCTGAGCAGTTCGATGGGGGGCTGGGAGCCGTAGGTGTCCAACTTAGGCATGTTCAGATCATCCACAAAGATCACTATCTTTCTGTTACCAGGAGCACCTGAGATGAAGAACAATGACAGAGGGAGGTATGGAAGTAGAGATATAAGGAGGGAGGGAGGTATGGAAGTAGCGATATAAGGAGGGAGGGAGGTATGGAAGTAGCGATATAAGGAGGGAGGGAGGTATGGAAGTAGCGATATAAGGAGGGAGGGAGGTATGGAAGTAGAGATATAAGGAGGGAGGGAGGTATGGAAGTAGAGATATAAGGAGGGAGGGAGGTATGGAAGTAGAGATATAAGGAGGGAGGGAGGTATGGAAGTAGAGATATAAGGAGGGAGGGAGGTATGGAAGTAGAGATATAAGGAGGGAGGGAGGTATGGAAGTAGAGAATAATAAGGAGGGAGGGAGGTAGTATGGAAGAGAGGATTAGGGAGGAGGGAGGTATGGAAAGTAGGATAAGGAGGAGGGAGGTATGCGAAGTAGAGATATAAGGAGGGAGGAGTATGGAAGTAGGAGATATAAGGAGGGAGGGAGGTATGGAAGTAGAGATATAAGGAGGGAGGGAGGTATGGAAGTAGAGATTAAGGAGGGAGGGAGGATGGAAGTAGAGATATAAGGAGGGAGGGAGGTATGGAAGTAGAGATATAAGGAGGGAGGGGGAGGTATGGAAGTAGAGATATAAGGAGGGAGGGAGGTATGGAAGTAGAGATATAAGGAGGGAGGGAGGTATGGAAGTAGAGATATAAGGAGGGAGGGAGGTATGGAAGTAGAGATATAAGGAGGGAGGGAAGGTATGGAAGTAGAGATATAAGGAGGGAGGGAGGTATGGAAGTAGAGATATAAGGAGGGAGGGAGGTATGGAATAGAGAATAAGGAGGGAGGGAGGTATGGAAGTAGAGATAAGGAGGGAGGGAGGTATGGAAGTAGAGATATAAGGAGGGAGGGAGGTATGGAAGTAGAGATATAAGGAGGGAGGAAGGTATGGAAGTAGAGATATAAGGAGGGAGGGAGGTATGGAAGTAGCGATATAAGGAGGGAGGGAGGTATGGAAGTAGAGATATAAGGAGGGAGGGAGGTATGGAAGTAGAGATATAAGGAGGGAGGGAGGTATGGAAGTAGAGATATAAGGAGGGAGGGAGGTATGGAAGTAGAGATATAAGGAGGGAGGGAGGTATGGAAGTAGAGATATAAGGAGGGAGGGAGGTATGGAAGTAGAGATATAAGGAGGGAGGGAGGTATGGAAGTAGAGTTATAAGGAGGGAGGGAGGTAAGGAAGTAGAGATATAAGGAGGGAGGGAGGTAAGGAAGTAGAGGTATAAGGAGGGAGGGAGGTATGGAAGAAAGAGGGGAAGGGATGCCATTACTACCACTTCACTAAGTAGGCCTATCAGTTCATGTGATTTACCACTGATCTGTACCATTGTCTGGGTGATGTAGAACAACCATGTTGTGCTAGGATGCCCACAATATATATATACACACTGCTCAAAAAAAGAAAGGGAACACTAAAATAACACATCCTAGATCTGAATGAATGAAATAATCTTATTAAATACTTTTTTCTTTACATAGTTGAATGTGCTGACAACAAAATCACACATAAATTATCAATGGAAATCAAATGTATCAACCCATGGAGGTCTGGATTTGGAGTCACCCTCAAAATTAAAGTGGAAAACCACACTACAGGCTGATCCAACTTTGATGTAATGTCCTTAAAACAAGTCAAAATGAGGCTCAGTAGTGTGTGTGGCCTCCACGTGCCTGTATGACCTCCCTACAACGCCTGGGCATGCTCCTGATGAGGTGGCGGATGGTCTCCTGAGGGATCTCCTCCCAGACCTGGACTAAAGCATCCGCCAACTCCTGGACAGTCTGTGGTGCAACATGGCGTTGGTGGATGGAGCGAGACATGATGTCCCAGATGTGCTCAATTGGATTCAGGTCTGGGGAACGGGCGGGCCAGTCCATAGCATCAATGCCTTCCTCTTGCAGGAACTGCTGACACACTCCAGCCACATGAGGTCTAGCATTGTCTTGCATTAGGAGGAACCCAGGGCCAACCGCACCAGCATATGGTCTCACAAGGGGTCTGAGGATCTCATCTCGGTACCTAATGGCAGTCAGGCTACCTCTGGCAAGCACATGGAGGGCTGTGCGGCCCCCCAAAGAAATGCCACCCCACACCATGACTGACCCACCGCCAAACCGGTCATGCTGGAGGATGTTGCAGGCAGCAGAACGTTCTCCACGGCGTCTCCAGACTCTGTCACGTCTGTCACGTGCTCAGTGTGAACCTGCTTTCATCTGTGAAGAGCACAGGGCGCCAGTGGCGAATTTGCCAATCTTGGTGTTCTCTGGCAAATGCCAAACGTCCTGCACGGTGTTGGGCTGTATGCACAACCCCCACCTGTGGACGTCGGGCCCTCATACCACCCTCATGGAGTCTGTTTCTGACCGTTTGAGCAGACACATGCACATTTGTGGCCTGCTGGAGGTCATTTTAGGGCTCTGGCAGTGCTCCTCCTGCTCCTCCTTGCACAAAGGCGGAGGTAGCAGTCCTGCTGCTGGGTTGTTGCCCTCCTACGGCCTCCTCCACATCTCCTGATGTACTGGCCTGTCTCCTGGTAGCGCCTCCATGCTCTGGACACTACGCTGACAGACACAGCAAACCTTCTTGCCACAGCTCGCATTGATGTGCCATCCTGGATGAGCTGCACTACCTGAGCCACTTGTGTGGGTTGTAGACTCCGTCTCATGCTACCACTAGAGTGAAAGCACCGCCAGCATTCAAAAGTGACCAAAACATCAGCCAGGAAGCATAGGAACTGAGAAGTGGTCTGTGGTCATCACCTGCAAAACCAGTCCTTTATTGGGGGTGTCTTGCTAATTGCCTATAATTTCCACCTGTTGTCTATTCCATTTGCACAACAGCATGTGAAATTTATTGTCAATCAGTGTTGCTTCCTAAGTGGACAGTTTGATTTCACAGAAGTGTGATTGACTTGGAGTTACATTGTGTTGTTTAAGTGTTCCCTTAATTTTTTTGAGCAGTGTATACATATATATATATATATATATATATATATCTCTCAAAAGAATAAAGACATTTCAAATGTCATATTATGTCTATATACAGTGTTGTAACAATGTGCAAATAGTTACAAGTACAAATGGAAAAATAAATAAACATAATGTATTTACGATGGTGTTTGTTCTTCAATGGTTGCCCTTTTCTTGTGGCAACAGGTCACAAATCTTGCTGCTGTGATGGGACACTGTGGTATTTCACCCAGTAGATAAGGGAGTTTATCAAAATTGGGTTTGTTTTCGAATTCTTTGTGAGTCTGTGTAATCTGAGGGAAATATGTGTCTCTAATATGGTCATACATTTGGCAGGAAGTTAGGAAGTGCAGCTCAGTTTCCACCTCATTTTGTGGGCAGTGTGCACATAGCCTGTCTTCTCTTGAGAGCCAGGTCTGCCTACGGCGGCCTTTCTCAATAGCAAGGCTATGCTCACTGAGTCTCACAGAGCCTGCATATAGTCAAAGCTTTCTCTCTCTCTCTCTATGTTATTCTCTCTCTCTCTCTCTGAATGTATTGCTAGTTACTGTATCTCTATCCCAATATCCCTCTCTCTCTCTCTCTGAATGTATTGCTAGTTACTGTATCTCTATCCCAATATTCCTCTCTCTCTCTCTCTCTCTGAATGTATTGCTAGTTACTGTATCTCTATCCCAATATTCCTCTCTCTCTCTCTCTGAATGTATTGCTAGTTACTGTATCTATCCCAATATTCCTCTCTCTCCCTCTCACCCAGAATGTTCTTCCTCTTCTTCTCCAGTTTGGACTCGATCATCTCCTGTGTTCTGGCTGAGGTGGTCTGGGCTGAGAAGTTGATGTAGACGGGTACGTAGCCTCCCTTCTCCTGGACACTGTTCAGAAGACCACGGGCCACCACAGACTGACACACACACAGAGACAAGAGAACACACCGAGGAAACACTTAGGAATGCATAGGGTTAACAGTGAGTGTTATGCGAGATGAATTCAATGATAAATGTGTTTTTCTCCACAAGGTCCAGCTATTAAAACTAGTAAGAGATGCCTCTGACAAGCAGTGGTGGAGGACAACAATATGGAAGGTTGAAATATAAACATGTCAGAAGATATCGGAGCAGTCCAGAGCGGTCCAGTTGAAAGTCTGTGTGTGTGGGTGTCTGTGTGTGTGTGTCTGTGTGGGTGTGGGTGTCTGTGTCTGTGTGGGTGTGGGTGTCTGTGTGTGTGTCTGTGTGTGTGGGTGTGTGACCATACCTTTCCTACTCCGGTGATGCCGGTGAAGAGAACAGAGTGCCCTACAGACAACAGTTTCTCCATCAGATAGCCGTAGCGCACCGTGTCGGTGGTGGGAACCAACATCTCAAAGAAGGGCAGTTCCTTGTTGTACTTAAAGGAGGGGATGATCCTCTCCCACGGCTCCAGACGCTTGTGGTTGAAGTCCATGAACACACTCCACAGGTCCCCCGAGCTGGGCAGCTACACACACACACACACACACACACACACACACAAACAATATAGACAAATACAGTTACACATACTAGCATATACTCACACACAGAAGCTTGGACCCAGGCCCTAAACATACATCTGTATTTACTGTCCTTAAGTCATAAAGATCTAACGGGGTTAATAGTAATCATGTTTAATATATTCTAATATTGTAATTGTCATGATTCAAGCAGGTAGACAAAGCCATGTCTGGATGTAACAGTTTGGTGGTCAGAACATCATTAAAAGGGTGCAGGCCTGTGTGTCTTTATGTTAAGGTAACTGTTGCCTGGAGAAGCCAGTGCTCTTAGTTGTTGACCGTGTTTTCACCGCCCTGTACTTGTGTTCTGTTTCCCCCCTGCAGTGTGTCAGAGTTTGTGTGTTGTGTTTGTCCCCCTGGACTTGGTGTCCTGCTGTTCGAGGTGTGTGTGTGTGTGGTTTGTTTACTGTGAGCGAGAGCCAGCCGCCAACTCCGGGGCTAGCAGGCACAGAAACTGGCACACATTTCATTACACACACACAGGAATATAAATGTGTACATAATGCCCCCTAACTCCACAGTAGACAGGAATATAAATGTGTACATAATGCCCCCTAACTCCACAGTAGACAGGAATATAATAGCTAAACAGGCAAGGAGGCATTATGATCTCTGCTCCTTTTCCACTCCTCTGTCTGCTCAGTCCACCAAATATCATCTTGAACTGAATGATAATGTCTAATGTGAGGATATGTTGCTCAAACAACATCTTTGCTTTTATTTGTCTGCCACTTTTGGGGTCTCCCTGTGTTTGATATTGTATGAAGGAGATATCCACAATCAAATGTCCATGTTTACCACTGCAAAAACCGCTAGTTATGGTGCTGTGAATGTAGTGAAGGAGAGAACACCTGAATAGATAATGTATGACTTTAATTGTAAAGTGGTTATCCCACTGGCTATAGGGTGAATGCACCAACTTGTAGTCGCTCTGGATAAGAGCGTCTGCTAAATGACGTAAATGTGCCCTTGAGCAAGGCACTTAACCCTAATTGCTCCTGTAAGTCGCTCTGGATAAGAGCGTCTGCTAAATGACTAAAATGTAAATGTAAAATGTAATATAAATGTGTACATAATGCCCCCTAACTCCACAGTAGACAGGAATATAAATGTGTACATAATGCCCCCTAACTCCACAGTAGACAGGAATATGAATGGGTACATAATGGCCCCAAACTCCACAGCAGACAGGAATATGAATGGGTACATAATGCCCCCTAACTCCACAGTAGACAGGAATATGAATGTGTACATAATGGCCCTAACTCCACAGTAGACAGGAATATGAATGTGTCCATAATGTCCCTAACTCCACATTAGACAGGAATATGAATGGGTACATAATGGCCCTAACTCCACAGTAGACAGGAATATGAATGTGTACATAATGGCCCTAACTCCACAGTAGACAGGAATATGAATGTGTACATAATGGCCCTAACTCCACAGCAGACAGGAATATGAATGTGTACATAATGGCCCTAACTCCACAGCAGACAGGAATATGAATGGGTACATAATGGCCCTAACTCCACAGTAGACAGGAATATGAATGTGTACATAATGGCCCTAACTCCACAGTAGACAGGAATATGAATGTGTACATAATGGCCCTAACTCCACAGTAGACAGGAATATGAATGTGTACATAATGGCCCTAACTCCACAGCAGACAGGAATATGAATGGGTACATAATGGCCCTAACCTCCACAGTAGACAGGAATATGAAATGTGTCCAATAAGGGCCCATAACTTCCACAGCAGACAGGAAATATGAATGGGTGTACAAATGGCCCTTAAAGGCCACAGTATGAACAGGAATATGAAGGTGTACATAATTGGCCCTAACTCCCACAGTAGACAGGAATATGAATGTGTACATAATGGGCCCTAACTCCACAGCATACAGACGGAATCTGAATGTGGTACATAATGGCCTAAACCCACATCCACAATCAAAGGAAATGAATGTGTAGCATAATGGCCCTAACTCCACAGTAGAAGAACAGGAATATGAATGTGTACATAATGGCTCTAACTCCACAGCAGAACAGGAAATATGAATGGGTACTAAGGCCCTAACCTCCACAGTAGAACATGAAAAATATGAATGTGTCCATAATGGTCCCTAACGCCACAGCAAGACAGGAATATGAATGGGTACATAATGGCCCCTAACTCCACATAGAGCAAGGAATATGAAATGTGTACATAATGGGCCCTAACTCCACAGTAGAACAGGAATATGAATGTGTACATAATGGCCCTAACTCCACAGCAGACAGGAATATGAATGGGTACATAATGGCCCTAACTCCACAGTAGACAGGAATATGAATGGTGTACATAATGGCCCTAACTCCACAGTTAGACAGGAATATGAATGTGTACAATAATGGCCCTAACTCCACAGTAGACAGGAATATGAATGTGTACATAATGGCCCTAACTCCACATTAGACAGGAATATGAATGTGTACATAATGGCCCTAACTCCACATTAGACAGGAATATGAATGTGTACATAATGGCCCCTAACTCCACAGTAGACAGGAATATGAATGTGTACATAATGGCCCTAACTCCAACAGTAGACAGGAATATGAATGGGTACATAATGGCCCTAACTCCACAGTAGACAGGAATATGAATGTGTCCATAATGGCCCATAACTCCACAGCAGACAGGAATATGAATGGGTACATAATGGCCCTAACTCCACAGTAGACAGGAATATGAATGTGTACATAATGGCCCTAACCCACAGTAAAACAGAATATGAATGTGTACATAATGGCCCTAACCCACAGCAACAGGAATATAAATTGGTACATAATGGCCCTAACTCCACAGTAAAAGGGAATATGATGTGTACATAATGGCTCTAACTCCACAGCAACAGGAATATGAATGGGTACATAATGGCCCAACTCCACAGTAGACAGGAATATAAAGTGGTCCATAATGGCCCTAACTCCACAGCAGACAGGAATATGAATGGGTACATAATGCCCTAACTCCCCCAGAGACAGGATATGAATGTGTACAAAAGGCCCCTAACTCCACAGTAGACAGGAATATGAATGTTTACAAATGGCCCTAACTCCACAGCAACGGGAAATATGAATGGGTCCATAATGGCCCTAACTCCACAGTAGACCGGAAAATATGAATGTGGTACAAAATGGCCCTAACTCCACATTAGACGGGAATAGGAATGTGTACATAATGGCCCCTAACTCCACATTAGACAGGAATATGAATGTGTACATAATGGCCCTAACTCCACATTAGACAGGAATATGAATGTGTACATAATGGCCCTAACTCCACATTAGACAGGAATATGAATGTGTACATAATGGCCCTAACTCCACAGTAGACAGGAATATGAATGTGTACATAATGGCCCTAACTCCACATTAGACAGGAATATGAATGTGTACATAATGGGCCCTAACTCCACAGTAGACAGGAATATGAATGTGTACATAATGGCCCTAACTCCACAGTAGACAGGAATATGAATGTGTACATAATGGCCCATAACTCCACATTAGACAGGAATATGAATGTGTACATAATGGCCCTAACTCCACATTAGACAGGAATATGAATGTGTACAAATGGCCTGTAACTCCACAGTAGACAGGAATATGAATGGGTACATAATGGCCCTAACTCCACATTAGACAGGAATATGAATGTGTACATAATGGCCTGTAACTCCACAGTAGACAGGAATATGAATGGGTACATAATGGCCCTAACTCCACATTAGACAGGAATATGAATGTGTACATAATGGCCTGTAACTCCACAGCAGACAGGAATATGAATGTGTCCATAATGGCCCATAACTCCACAGTAGACAGGAATATGAATGTGTACATAATGGCCCATAACTCCACAGTAGTCAGAGCGACAGTTGCCTCAGGTTCTCTGAGCTGCACATTAGTTATCTCCAGAGACAGACTTCACCAGCCTTGTTTTGGTGTCTGGGGGCGTGAGTGCATGTGTGCGTGCATGTTAAGATCCTCACAGACAGATCATCTCAGTTAGTTATGGAGCGTAACACATTCAGCCTCCATCTTTTCTTCCACACACTCTCTCACAGGTAAATGATGCATAGTCTACACCTCCATAGACTCAAGGAATAAAACAGGATATCCATCATTACACTGTTACAACCCAGGAGACACTTCTAGAAGAAGAAAGTAGAGAGTTCCTATTGGATATCAATACTGTGATACCAACCAATGGCAACCATAGTCTCCATTGATCGCATGATGAAATACAATGAAAGTCCTCTGCAGATCCATGAAATCTACTCCTCTTCCAGCCTGTCACCTGCTGTCCTTATTGCTAAGGGGACAGACAGAGGTTTCCTACTGATACCTTTAGAGATGTTTCCATATCTCCATATCCATCTACTAAAACGGCATGCCTTTATAGCATGTCTTTTTGTTACATATATCCAATTGATTAAAAACACGGAATACATTTCAAATGGTATCAATCGTCATCAGATATTCATATTTGGTAGCAGTCTAGAGATTGAAGTGATTCCACAGGTAAGGCCTATATTTGATTTGAAACTTTTCAGATGACTTAAAGAGCGACTGAACGCACTGACTCAGCATGTTGTTTTCTGTTGCTCATTAAGATCAATTTCAGTCTTGGTGGTGTGGTTCGATGTGGCAGTTACTGATGTTTGTCCCCCATGAGGCACCATAGGAACAAAGCCAGTATCACTTCCTAAACATAGTCAGAATGAATCTAAGATAACTCAAGAAATCTGTCATTCATTTTGAAGTTTCTGCCAAGGAGCTTTTAGTCACATCTAGCTAAGGTGTTTGGTGCAGTAGTATATTTCTCAATACATCTAGCTAAGGTGTTTGGTGCAGTAGGCTATTTCTCAATACATCTAGCTAAGGTGTTTGGTGCAGTAGGATGATTCTCAATGCATCTAGCAAAGGTGTTTGGTGCAGTAGGCTATTTCTCAATACATCTAGCTAAGGTGTTTGGTGCAGTAGGCTATTTCCCAATGCATCTAGCTAAGGTGTTTGGTGCAATAGGATATTTCCCAATGCATCTAGCTAAGGTGTTTGATGCAGTAGGCTATTTCCCAATACATCTAGCTAAGGTGTTTGGTGCAGTAGCATAATTCTCAATACATCTAGCTAAGGTGTTTGGTGCAGTAGCATAATTCTCAATACATCTAGCTAAGGGGTTTGGTGCAGTAGCATAATTCTCAATACATCTAGCTAAGGTGTTTGGTGCAGTAGGATGATTCTCAAAACATCTAGCTAAGGTGTTTGGTGCAGTAGTATATTTCCCAATACATATAGTTAAGGGGTTTGGTGCAGTAGGATGATTCTCAATACATCTAGCAAAGGTGTTTGGTGCAGTAGGATATTTCCCAATGCATCTAGCTAAGGTGTTTGGTGCAGTAGGCTATTTCCCAATGCATCTAGCTAAGGTGTTTGGTGCAGTAGGCTATTTCCCAATACATCTAGCTAAGGTGTTTGGTGCAGTAGGATGATTTCCAATACATCTAGCTAAGGTGTTTGGTGCAGTAGGATAATTCTCAATACATCTAGCTAAGGTGTTTGGTGCAGTAGGATAATTCTCAATACATCTAGCTAAGGTGTTTGGTGCAGTAGAATGATTTCCAATACATCTAGCTAAGGTGTTTGGTGCAGTAGTATATTTCTCAATACATCTAGCTAAGGTGTTTGGTGCAGTAGGCTATTTCCCAAAACATCAAGTTAAGGTGTTTGATGCAGTAGGCTATTTCCCAATACATCTAGCTAAGGTGTTTGGTGCAGTAGAATGATTCTCAATACATCTAGCTAAGGTGTTTGGTACAGTATAATATTTCTCAATACATCTAGCTAAGGGGTTTGGTGCAGTATTTCGCAAGTTGAAAAATGTACGACGTGTTGTGCTGCTGGGCAGGTCTGTCTCACTGTCTGTGTGTTCTGCCGTACGATTGGATAAACCACAGCTGTTTATCCTGTGGTAGTGGGCATTGTCTAAAAACCCAACCCTCAGGTAAGTCATGACGAACTCTTGTACACAAATCTCACAAAACTCTGTTTTGGACGATACTGACTTCATGACCAAATTAACCTACTTTTTTGTCAATTTTGGCACTGGAATAAATGTTTCTGACTTACATCGATGCCACATATGCCATTTTTAACGAGGGAAGTTGGTTCTCGGGTTCAGTTCGGTTTAAGAGAAAATTCTAGCCTTGCAGAAAGTCTGGTCCTAGTTATTGCCCATGGCATTTCAGATAAGAAAATCTAACCTTCGAAGCAAATAGGACAGAACCCCCATTCCCTAGTCACACCTCTGTAGCATGCTAATGCTAGCTAGCGCCTGGCGAGGAGTGTTGGCCTTCAGTAATATGTATGGCAGCCAGGGCGGGCTATGTTGGACCCTGGTAATAGATAATGCTTTGAACTGGTCTGGTTTTTTAAATGTAGTCTTCTGATGGTATGGAATATAAAACAGTATATAGTGTGTGTGTCTCTGTGTGGTACGCATGATATGGTGTAGATGATACTATAATGATGATGATGATGATTCTGACTATAATGATGATGATTATAATTCTGACTATAATGATAATGATTATAATTCTGACTATAATGATGATGATTATAATTCTGATTATAATGATGATGATTATAATTCTGACTATAATGATGATGATTATAATTGATAATGATTATAATTCTGATTATAATGATGATGATTATAATTCTGACTATAATGATGATGATTATATAATTCTGATTATAATGATGATGATTATAATTCTGACTATAATAATGATGATGGTGATGATGATGGTGATGGTGATGATGGTGATGAAGGCCCTACTAACCTTGGCATCATTATTGTCTTCAAACTGTTGTCTGACGAAGCTGTCGAAGGCATCCCAGTGGCTGTCAGCCAGGTTACCCCCCACAGACCACAGGTAGCAGAATACAAACGTCTGACACAACACACTGTTCAGGTGCTTAGGCTCCTGGAAAACACACACACACACACACACACACACACACACACACACACACACACACACACACACACACACACACGGGGAAAGAAGAGTGCTTGTGAGTGTGTGTGTGTGTGGTATCAAAAACAAAAAGGTTTGAATGCTCGCCACGTCCCTGTAAACACTGATTAGCATTTGGTTGTGGTTGATGTGTGGTCGATATTCAGTATCAAAGGGACATTTCACTCAACAACAAAAAAACGCTATGTCAGACGTTTTCAGACTTCAAAAGAGTAATGTCAAGATGAAACCAGGTCACATGACATGGGTTGGAGATGGAGCTATACATCTGTATAATGACTGGTTAATATGTAGTTGTGGTCATGCTGTGTCCTGGTAACATTTAGCCTACCATCTTGAGGTCTGGTCTTCCCTCTCCCAGCAGCAGCGCCTCCAGCAGGCAGCAGAGGGTAGTGACCTTACTGATGTCCACCTGGCCCATGGCCTGGACACAACGCTTCCACACAAACTGAAGACCCTTCTCCACGTACTGCTCAAACAACGCCAACAGGTACACACACACCGCCTCGGGGAGCTAGAGGAGGGGGTGGGGGGAGGGAGGGAGGGAGGGGGTGGGGGGAGGGAGGGAGGGAGAGGAGGGGGTGGGGGGAGGGAGGGAGGGAGGGAATGGAGGGAGAGGGGGAGAGGGAGACAGCGACAGAGAGAGCAGAGAAGAAGAGACATTTAAATGTATGATCAGGACATCAAAGAAAACCAGGTAAAAATTGGCTTTTGAATTGAGATAAAGATCCATGTCAACCAATCAACAGAGAATGAGTTATCAAGATAACACCCATCTCTGACAACACTGTAGGTCTCTGTCATCGGTCAGCTATAACATCAGAAACAACAGCAGCAGTCCGAGGGAGGATATAAAATCATTTAAAGATGTAGTTATCATAAAGACAGGGAAAGTTCACAGGATCCTCCTCTGATGATGCAAGAGAGATTCTGTAAAGGTTAGAGGTGATGGGTCATATGATGATCTTAGATGGCTTGTTGTGGTCGATGTTTATGATGGTTGGAGCACCATTCTAGCCATCTATCTAGTTAGATACACCTCAGCCTTTGGTCTGAGACGCTAGACATTCTCTGTGATCTTCACACAGAGAGAGGACAGAATGATACCATGACAATTCAGATTTCCAATGGGAAACAGGCTTGACTGAGCCCACAGCTACTTCTACAGAGGGGCGTTATGATTATGAAGACATGGTAGATGTATATTCTGATGGAGTAGAGATGTGACCAGCGCAGGAAATCTCCTTGTTAGTTAGGCCAGTGATCCAGGTCTGGACCATGCTAAGAAGAATGGTAAATCACCTTTTTAGCCAGGCCAGTGATCCATGTCTGGACGTAGGGCATCCACTTGAGTTCGTCAGAGTCGATATAGACCATCCCACAGCGACTCACTGTGGCTGGGGACGCCACCGACAGGTCCTGGACCTGACACACACAACGGTTGCAGAAAATGTACCAAGTCTGGATTTTTAACATGTCACTATTATCTGTTCATGTCAAAGAAGTCCATAGTGATTGTCCCACTTGTGAGCAACGCTAGAATGCAATGAAGAGGGACTTCTATTCCCTGACCCCTCTCTGACCTCAAACACCATGTGTATAGATGGGGTCAGTTTGATGCGTTCGCTGTTGGCCAGACACAGCATCTTGTTGTCGTCCAGGACCGTGTTCATGTTCTCGATCCACAGCGCGTCCACCGGACCGTCCGACACGATCCACTTGTGGTCATCGCTGGTGTCGTTGCAGGCCGCTCGCACGCTGAGCGCCATCAGGCCGTCACGCCACTCCAGGGTCAATATGTTCACCTGTAGGGGTCAGGGGTTAGGGGTTCATGTTATGCACTTTGTGACATATGTTTGTATATATAAATTGGTAAAAACCAATAGCGAGTAAGTGAGCAAACGAGTGAGCAAACGAACGAGGGATACATTGATTGAACTAATAGGTACATTAATTAATTGGATGGTTAACTGTTAACAAATCAACTGATTGTTTATGGATATATTTATTTATAGACTGAATTATCTTTTTTTGATTAACTTTTATTTATTCAGGGAAGCCCAATTGAGACCAGGGTCTCATTCCCAATGGTGGCCTGAGTAAAAACATGTCCTCACAAACAGGAAGAAAAACTTAAATTACCAATAAAACATGACCATTGTCAAGAACTGGCAGGAAAGCTTCCTGCTATTTAGGGAGAGGTAATATCTATATTAGTTCTAAAAAAAGAAGCCCACTTTAAATCTTAGCTTTTTAACTAGCTCATCCATATGTTTTTTAAACATTAAGTCTTTGTCACTCCAAATGCCCAGATATTTATAGGTGGGAACCCGATCGATGGGAGAACCATCCAATGAATAAATATGTAGTTCATCTAAAGCATTTTTGCGAGAATTACTGAACAACATATATTTAGTCTTGGCCACATGAAGTACAAGTTTTAAACCAACCAGGGCTTTCTGTAAGGTAACAAGGTCCCATTGCTGCTCTAACATAGCCTGGTCAACAGTTGGGGCAACGGCATACATGACACTGTCGTCTGCATACAGATGACTATTGCAAATGTTAACAGATAGACCAATATTATTTACAGAAACAGTAAAGAGAACAGGTCCCAGTACCGACCCCTGTGGTACACCTTTTTTAACATCCAGAAAACTAGACTTAACACCATCGTGTTTTTACATCTGCATTGCTTGCTGTTTGGGGTTTAAGGCTGGGTTTCTGTATATGCACTTTGTAACATCTGATGATGTAAAAAGGGCTTTAAAAATACATTTGATTTGATGATCAGAAATCATGCATTGAGTCCTGTCTGACAGATAATTCTCAAGCCACTTGCAAGAAGCCTGATCCAGGCCTATTTCAGTCAACCTTTGAATGATGGTTAACAGTGTCAAAGGCCTTTAACACATCCTCTAAAACAAGTGTAGCAGCTGAAAGTATTCACCCACCTTGGCATTTTTCCTATTTTGTTGCCTTACCTTACCTGGAATTAAAATTGATTTTTTGGGGTTATAATTTGATTTACACAACATGCCTACCACTTCGAAGATGAAAAATATGTTTTATTGTAAAACAAACAAGAAATACGATTTTTTTTAAACGGAAAACTTGAGTGTGCATTACTATTCACCCCCCCCCCCAAAGTCAATACTTTGTAGAGCCACCTTTTGCAGCAATTACAGCTGCAAGTCTCTTATGGTATGTCTCTATAAGCTTGGCACATCTAGCAACTGGGATTTTTGCCCATTCTTCAGGGCTAAACTGCTCCAGCTCCTTCAAGTTGGATGGGTTCCACTGGTGTAGAGCAATCTTTAAATCATACCACAGATTCTCAATTGGATTGTGGTCTGGGCTTTGACTAGGCCATTCCAAGACATTTAAATGTTTCCCCTTAAACCACTCTAGTGTTGCTTTAGCAGTATGCTTAGGGTCATTGTCCTGCTGGAAGGTGAATCTCCATCCCAGTCTCATATCTCTGGAAGACTGAAACAGGTTTCCCTCAAGAATTTCCCTGTATTTAGCGCCATCCATCATTCCTTCAATTCTGACCAGTTTTTTCATTTCACTTCACCAATTTGGACTATTTTCTATATGTCCATTACATGAAATCCAAATAAAAATCCATTTAAATTACAGGTTGTAATGCAACAAAATAGGAAAAACGCCAAGGGGGGTGAATACTTTTGCTAGGCACTGTATGTCCAGGTCTAAAACCGGATTGGTGCACATTAAGAATAGAGTGAAAAGTTAAAAAAGTTATTAGCTGAAAGTTGGCCAGGGATTCTAAAACTTTGAAAAGGCAAGATCAATTGGAAATTGGACGGTAGTTATCTTAGTCAGAAGGATCTCCTCCTTTATGTAGGGGGAGGACATGTGCCACTTTCCAGATCTTAGGGATAACGGCAGAAACAATTGTCAAGTAAAAAATATAGGTCAGTGGTTCTGCAGTAAGTGGAGCAGAGAGCTGCAGTAAGTGGAGCAGAGAGCTGCAGTAAGTGGAGCAGAGAGCTGCAGTAAGAAGGGGTCAAGTGAATCAGCCCATATGTTTTTATTAACATCCATCTTTAGCAAAGCACGTAGCACATCGTAGACATCAAATGGTTGAAGTGAAAATACAGTATGTGAGTCTGTTAGTGCACAGATGCATTGTCAGCCAGGCATACCTCTCCGTAGAGCTCTCCCATGGTGACAGACTTGGGGTTGAGGACGTATGTCTTGACAGGGAGGAAGAAGGGGTTGTGTTTCCCGTGGCCAGCCTGGCACAGGGTATCTAAGGCATCAGACAGGATGGTGTAGACCGTGGTCTTCCCTCCTCCTGTAGGACCCACCAACATCACACCGTGACGTACTATCATGGTCTCATACAGCTGGATCACCTGGAGGGAGGGAAGGGTTAAAACCACATGGACAAATATATAGCATCACTAAATCATGTATTTTCATTTCAAGTCAAACTGAACAGAATGATTTTGTTGAATGACGCATTTGTGTTTATCATTTGTAATGACAGCCATCATGAATAACTTTATAATATAAAGCACTTTGAGGCCTACATTATGTTTACTTAAATTAATACATAAGTTCAGTCAGTCAATGTGTACCTTGTTGATCATGCTGGGTAGGGTCAGTCAGTACCTTGTTGGTCATGCTGGGTAGGGTCAATCAGTACCTTGTTGGTCATGCTGGGTAGGGTCAATCAGTACCATTTTTTGGTCTGCTGGGTAGGGTAAATCAGTACCCTTGTTGGTCATGCTGGGTAGGGTCACAGTCAGTACCTTGTTGGTCATGCTGGGTAGGGTCAGTCAGTACCTTGTTGGTCATGCTGGGTAGGGTCAGTCAGTACCTTGTTGGTCATGCTGGGTAGGGTCAGTCAGTACCTTGTTGGTCATGCTGGGTAGTGTCAGTCAGTAAGTACCTTGTTGTCATGCTGGGTAGGGTCAGTCAGTCAGTCAGTACCTTGTTGGTCATGCTGGGTAGGTTTCAGTCAGTCAGTACCTTGTTGGTCATGCTGGGTAGGGTCAGTCAGTACCTTGTTGGTCATGCTGGGTAGTTTCAGTCATACCTTTGTTGGTCTGCCTGGGTTGGTCAATCAGTTACCCTTTTTTGGTCATGCTGGGTAAGTCAGTCAGTACCTTGTTGGTCATGCTGGTAGTGGTCAAGCAGTACCTTGTTGGTCATGCTGGGTAGGGGTCGTCAGTACCCGTTGCTGGTCATGCTGGGGTGGGTCAGTCAGTACCCTTGTTGGTCATGCTGGGTAGGGACAGTCAGTACCTTGTTGGTCATGCTGGGTAGGTGTCGTCAGTCAGTCAGTACCTTGTTGGTCATGCTGGGTAGGGTCGTCAGTCAGTACCTTGTTGGTCATGCTGGGTAGGGGCTGCAGGTTGCGTTTTACTAGAGACTCCAGGATGGTGGTTTGGAGAACACCGTAGTCATGTTCAGGGATGGACACGCCAGGGAACAGGTCAGACATGATGCCACTAGAGCAGAGAACACACAAACACACAGAGCCGTCATACACAGACGTCACACACACACGGACACACAACAGAGCCGTCAAACGGACAAACACACACATCAGTCTGCACTAAGGCATCATGAAAGTATAACAGTGGAATGTTCTATTCTTCTCCATAGCGCTGTAACATTCATTAGCTCTGGGACCCCATTGGTTTATCTCTCTCTCTCTGTGTGTGTGTGTGTGTGTGTGTCAGGGTCTGTGTGTGTTCTCTCACCCAAAGAGCGCCGCGTCGTCTGTGAGGAACTTGGGCAGATTGGAGTCTCTCAGAGCCCTGATCAGAACCACGTCTTCACTCAGGTGGGGGTTCTCTCTTTTCAGAGACCTGCAGGGGGTCACACACACACACACACACACACACACACACACACTCACACACACGCACACACACGCACACACATGCACACACACGCACACGCAATACATTCTCTATAAATGTGGGGGTCCCTCTCTCTTCAGAGACATTGCATGTTTGAAAGTTGTAGCGAACATGGTTAGGGTCAATTCGATTTGTTGTCAAAATCGCAACTTTTTTCAATGAATTTTCAATACACTGAAAAGGATAAGCTATTTACGGTATTTCAAACGTATTTGAATATGAACTTTAAATCACGTCCTGAATTGACTGACTTCAATTTGGAATCGTGGATGTGTTACTGAAAGGCCACTGAACTGAATACATTACTGGGACGTCTAAAGGTCACTGAACTGAATACATCACTGGGACGGCTAAAGGTCACTGAACTGAATACATCACTGGGACTTCTAAAGGTCACTGAACTGAATACATCACTGGGACGTCTAAAGGTCACCGAACTGAATACATCACTGGGACGTCTAAAGGTCACTGAACTGAATACATCACTGGGACGGCTAAAGGTCACTGAACTGAATACATCACTGGGACGTCTAAAGGTCACTGAACTGAATACATCACTGGGACATCTAAAGGTCACTGAACTGAATACATCACTGGGACGTCTAAAGGTCACTGAACTGAATACATTACTGGGACGTCTAAAGGTCACTGAACTGAATACATCACTGGGACGGCTAAAGGTCACTGAACTGAATACATCACTGGGACTTCTAAAGGTCACTGAACTGAATACATCACTGGGACGTCTAAAGGTCACCGAACTGAATACATCACTGGGACGTCTAAAGGTCACTGAACTGCATACATCACTGGGACATTTAAAGGTCACTGAACTGAATACATCACTGGGACGTCTAAAGGTCACTGAACTGAATACATCACTGGGACGTCTAAAGGTCACTGAACTGAATACATCACTGGGACGTCTAAAAGTCACTGAACTGAATACAGTAATCCCTCGTTTATCGCGGGGGTTACGTTCCGAAAATGACCCGCGATAAGTGAAATCCGCGAAATAGAAAACTTTTTTTTTTTTACAATTAGCAACTATTACATGTATACAAATACAGTGACTCACGTGTAGGCCGTTTCGTCGACATTATGGGTTTAGAAGATGTTCGAAATTACAAGATAATTTGGCCAACTTAATGTAAATTTGCCAAGCTGTTTTATGTACGTACACATAACTGCACGAGACGACAAAATGATAGCACAATTCGTAGCATGTTTTGATACAAGAAGCGGGAGTGAGTTTTTAGCGAATCAGAATGCAGAGCACAATGCACCAAAAAAAAAAAAAAAAATGCATTATGAAAATCCGCGAAATAGCGAATCCACGATAAGTGAACCGCGAAGTGGCGAGGGATCACTGTACATCACTGGGACATCTAAAGGTCACTGAACTGAATACATCACTGGGACGTCTAAAGGTCACTGAACTGAATACATCACTGGGATGTCTAAAGGTCACTGAACTGAATACATCACTGGGACGTCTAAAGGTCACTGAACTGAATACATCACTGGGACGTCTAAAGGTCACTGAACTGAATACATTACTGGGACGTCTAAAGGTCACTGAACTGAATACATCACTGGGACGTCTAAAGGTCACTGAACTGAATACATCACTGGGACGTCTAAAGGTCACTGAACTGAATACATCACTGGGACGTCTAAAGGTCACTGAACTGAATACATCACTGGGACATCTAAAGGTCACTGAACTGAATACATCACTGGGACTTCTAAAGGTCACTGAACTGAATACATCACTGGGACGTCTAAAGGTCACTGAACTGAATACATTACTGGGACGTCTAAAGGTCACTGAACTGAATACATCACTGGGACATCTAAAGGTCACTGAACTGAATACATCACTGGGACGTCTAAAGGTCACTGAACTGAATACATCACTGGGACGTCTAAAGGTCACTGAACTGAATACATCACTGGGACGTCTAAAGGTCACTGAACTGAATACATCACTGGGACATCTAATCTAAAGGTCACTGAACTGAATACATCACTGGGACATCTAATCTAAAGGTCACTGAACTGAATACATCACTGGGACGTCTAAAGGTCACTGAACTGAATACATCACAGGGATGTCTTTTTATTTTATTTAACCTTTATTTAACTAGGCAAGTCAGTTAAGAACAAATTCTTATTTACAATCACGGCCTACACCGGCCAAACCCGGACGACGCTGGGCCAATTGTGTGCTGCCCTATGGGACTCCCAATCACGGCCGGTTGTGATACAGCCTGGAATCGAACCAGGGGGTTTGAACTGAATCCATCACTTTAAACACACTCACCATCTCTCTGTTACACACAAACACACATGCAGACACAGACAGCTTGGTTGGAGGTTGTTGTCTTTGCTAATGTGAATTCCTCTCCTTCTCCTCCCGTCTCTCTCTCTTCACTCTCTCTCTCATCCTCCCTTCTCTTCTCCTCCTGTCCCAGAGCTAGGCTAATCAAGGTGGACGATGATTCCCCACTGACTGTTCACCAACCCATTCATTAATAATGTGGAGTGCTGGCACACACACACACACACACTGGGTGATAATGGCAGGCCCATTACATTGGATTTACTGTGGTAGTAAAAAGTGAATGAGACAGATAGAAGAGAGTAGCTCTAACGACAGTCAGGGGGCTTGTTACTCAAGCACCTGTAAAACGAACACCTCACCCTGTGACAAGACAATAGCTGCCTGAGTCAATCTGGGACTGACACACTATGGCTGGGAGAAAGCATGATGGATGGGACAGACAGGGGAAATCACTACTACGTCTGGCCCAGGAGGATTTCAATGATGCCAATCATCTTCTATATGATTTTCATATAGTGTCTCAGTCTGATGAGGAATGTGTTAGTAGATCAGGTAGGATGTCCTATGCTGCTATCCTATGCTCTCTGTATAGTCAGCTCTGTATAGAGGAAACAAGGCCTTCCCTTGTCCAGTCTGCTCTTCCTGTCACGCTGAGCTTTGCCAATAGGGCGTGTCCCAAATGGCACCCTATTCCCTATATAAAGCTGGTCAAAAGTAGCGCAGAGCGTAGGGAATATGGTGCCAGAAACTGTCAGATCCCGGCTTGTGGTTTTGATTGAATAAAGTTCTGGTTTTCTCTCTTTGTCCTATCCCCAAAATCTAAAAGATACCGGTTTGCAAGTTTGATTGAACAGGGTGGTGTCCACGGTCCTAACGTTAGG